TATGATGAGCAGCATCACAGTCATAAGACCATAAAGCACTCAGGTACCTACTGTTGGATCCTTTCATCTAGTGAGCTCCTCCAGGGCCAGAGATTTGGGAACTTGGTTGTCCTTGTGGCAAGGTGGACCACGAAGGATGCCTGTCTCTAGGGGCAGAGTTACTGCGTATTTCCATACATCATAGATCACTTGATCAACAGAGAGAGAAGACAGCATGCAAAGGTGACCCCATATAATTGGGCAACGTGAATTTCTAATGTGTCTTCAAGGGTAGATGAAGCCACTGACTGATAGCCTTTTCTTGCAGCCCCAAAAATCTACTAAAATGCAAAATTATTTACTTGTGTCTATGAATGTGAACCCATACACTTCTTTGGCTCATGAACAATTCCAGCATTTCTTGACAGAAGCAGATGATCCTTTCTTCAGGGGGGAATCACTTCTGCTCTCAGCTATAACACCATGATTGGAGCTGCAGAGATCCTCTTAGGATTCATGGGTTAATTACCACGTGTAAGTTCCATTCCCTCACAAGTTCCTAGAGTGTAGATTCAGACTTACCTAAATCAAGCTAATATCCCAGGTCTAGTGCAACCAGGACTCAGGCCAGGAGAGGGAAATCAATGTGCTCAAGTGGTGCTGCTGGATGACCTCCTACCCCTCTCCTGAGGGTTAGATGTGAGATAGGTGATGATGTGATCAAATGCATCAGATTCTGGAAGGAATGCCCTGGTGGCACATTGCAGATGTAACACAGCACCAGCAAGAGCCATGGGGTCCACTTTTTTCTCAGTTCTTTTAATCACCTTCAGTCACTAAGTGAACTCAAGCACCAGACCGATGCATGTGACACTTAGCTGTGCCATTCCCCATCACCCAGGGCCATATCATACCTCTAAGAGGGTCCATGGAATGAAAGGGATAACTTCTCTGCAGGAATAATGGATATCTGAGCTTCTGTATCACTCACTGGATTGGGGAATGCAAAGTTAGCCATTTCCTGAGGGTGTGGATTTAACCACCACTGAATATAAGGAACTGTGGCATGTATTTTAAGACACATATGCTGGTTGTGGAGGACATATGCTGTCCATTGAAATATCATCTCTTGGCTGCACTACTCTGCTTCTAACTTTGTTTCTTTAATATGTAAAGTGTTTTGGACTGTATATGATCTTGGCAGAGCATGAAATCCTTGCAGGCACTTTTCAACTGATATATTTATTAGACAGGAGGGAAAATATTGTCTGGATTAGGTATGGATTTTGAAACTGAATCACAACTGTATTTCAAAGGTACACAGTCTGATTTAGAGAAATCACCACTAAAATAATGTTTTCCACTACCTCCTTTGTAAAGATCTCTCCAACTAATTTTTACAATAAGACTGATTGTAAATTGTTCACTTGTTTCTAGCAATTCTATTAAATGAATAAAATCTGTAGAAAAATTTGAGCTGTGTAAATTGAGGAAACTGTAATAGGCTTCAGCAATTTATAAGAGGTATGCAATTAATGTGACACATTGTAAATGTTAGTTAAGAGAGCAAGAGATAACCCAGTCACAGTTTCTATGCCTAGTTACTGCAGCAGAGGCCAGGATCTCACTGGGGCAAGTTAAAAGGAAAGTCATTGTGCTAGAAGGTGGGAATTAAAAATATTCCATTTGGCTACAAAAGCCTGGACAAAAGCAATGCCATGTTAGCACTAGCCCATCATTTCCATATAGTTTAAGAGTCTGAGCACAATCCTTTGCTGATGGTTGACAGCAACAAGCCCTTACACTACAGAAGACATTGCATCTTGGCCTAGGAACTGGAATGCTGTTTCTAATTGCACTCTTCACCCAGACATGACAAACATAGCACCTGTACAAACCATATGGGGAAACAGAGAAGTTGCTTCTGATTCCAAGAAGTGTACAGTACATTAGATGTTTGAAATAACAAAAACTGGTTTTTTTAGAGTACAAGAAGTATTCAAAAAAGAAGTATACATAAATTCATAAAATGGAAAATGGAGAAAAAGTGCAGAAAGGTGACTGTGTTATTAGTTAATTCTTTAAATAAAGCATTTAAAGATGCTCAGAAGCAGAATTCTGAAGTCAGTTCTAATTAATATGATGAAAAGCACTCTCCTGAAGCTTGTCTGTGGTGGGTTGACCATGGCTGGGTGTCAGGTGTCCACCAAGCTGCTCTTTCACTCCCTTTCTGAGCTGTACAAGGGAGAGAAAATATGACCAAAGTTTTGTGGGTCAAGATAAGGACAGGAAAACATCACTCACCAATTACTGTCATGTGGAAAACAGACTTGACTTGTGGAAAATTAATTTTAATTTATTGCTAATCAAATCACAGTAAGCAAGATAATGAAAAATAAGAAAAAAAAATCTTACAACACTTTCCCTCCATGTCTCTCTTCTTTCTGGGCTTGACTTTATTCACAAATTCTCTATTGCCTCCTCTCCAGTGGCACAAGGGGTGGGGAAACAGGTCTGTGGTTAGTTCATTTCACATTGATCCTGCTGCTCCTTTCTCCTCACAAGGAGGACTCCTCACACCTTTCCCATGCTCCAGCATGGGATCCCTTCCACAGGAAACAGTTCTCCATGAACTTATTCAGTGTGGGTCCTTCACATGGGCTGTAGTTCTTCATGAACTGCTTCAGTGTGGGTCCCTCCCACGGGGTGCAGTCCTTCAGGAATAGGCTGCTGCAGAGTGGGTCCCCCAGGGGTCTCAAGTTCTGCCAGCAAACCTGCTCCAGCATAGGCTCCTCTCTCCACAGGGCCACAGGTCCTGCCAGGAGCCTGCTTCAGTGTGGGCTTCCCGTGGGGTCACAGCCTCCTTTGGGCATGTCCACCTACTCTGGTGTGAGGTTCTCCATGGTCTGCAGGCTGATCTCTGGTCCACCTTGGACCTCCATGGGCTGCAGAGAGGCAGCTGCCTCACCATCGTCTGCACCACGGGCTGCAGGGGAATCTCTGCTCTGGTGCTTGGAGAACCACCTACTGCTTCTTCACTAGCCTTGACGTCTGCAGAGCTGTTCCTCACACATATTCTCTGTCCTCTCTTGGGCTGCTGTTGCTGTTGCACAGGTTTTCCCCCCTTCTTCTTGAATACATTATCCCAGAGGTGCTACCACTGTCACTGGTGGGCTCAGCCTTGGCCAGTGGTGGATCTATCTTGCAACAGGCTGGCACTGGCTCCATCAGACACAGGGGAAGCTTCTGGCAGCTTCTCACAGAAGCCATCCCTTAGGCCCCTGCTGCCAAAAACTTGCTAATACATTATGAAAGCTATGCAAATCTTCACGTTCACCCTGCAGGAACTTGGTGCATTTCCAGTCTTGAAAAATATATCCCAGCACGGTCTTTACAAAGACAGTGCAACACCCAGAGCCTCTGAAGCTGCCATGAAGTTCAAATCTCAGCACTTATCTACAAACATGGTGTTTGGCATAGTACCACACTGTGTTTTTTCTATCCTCTTTTTTCCGATGTGTGGACTGTGATACAGCACAACAGGTTAAAATGAAGAGGGTAAAGTCAAGCAGTGTATTTTACTCACTGCATTAAACAATAACAACCTTACTCATGTTGCTAACCTGAGTAAGCAGCATTTGCTTCCCCGCATCTGGTGTAGGAAGTGCTCTTCCCTCTCTTTTTTCTGTTTGGAGGTACCACTATGAATACCGCATTTGAGGACTACAGGTCAACTGTAGGTAGTGTTATGCTGTGCAGTCCTTCCTTTCAATAAATGAAATGCAACAAAGTGCGTCAACATTTGCCAGTTTGGAGAAAATACCAAATTATTTAAGGAGACTACTGAAGAGCAGGTAGGCGATGGCAAAACATTACTGTGGAAAACTTGGCGGGGGTATCTGCATCCCAAAGATATCCCATTGGCTTTTCCCTTAGCCTGCAGGAACATCACCTCTGAGATGAGAATCAGCATAATTGAACAGAAATGGAAAAGCAGAAGTATGCTAAAGTAGATAAACATCTGCTTTGAAACTGGTTTATGGCTGTCATCACCTTCAGTTTGTTGCGAAGATGCAAAGAATTCACATCAGTTAAGGAGTGGCAATACTCAGGTTACACATCACCAATACTTGTCAAACTTATGTTGCTACAGTGTTGTTTCATCCTAGATCTAGGATGCATCCCATGCTTAAACACACAGGCTGGTCACCAACAGAAGTTCAGGAGGGATGGACACCTCTCCTACAGAGAAAGACTGTGAATATTGAGATCGTTCAGACTGGAGAAGAGAGTGATCTGAGTCAACCTTATTGCAGCCTTCCAGTACCTAAAGGGAACCTACAAGAAAGCTGGAGAGGTTCTTTTTACAAGGGCACATAGTGACAGGACCAGGGGGAGTGGCTTTGAACTGAAAGAGCATAAATTTAGATTGAATATAAGGAAGAAATTCTTTACTTGAGTGTGGTGAGGCACTGGAACAGGTTGCCCAGAGAAGTTGTGGATGCCCCACCCTTAGAGGTGTTCAAGGCCGGATTGGATGGGCCTTTGAGCAACTTGGTCTAGTGAAAGGTGTCCCTGCCCATGGCAGGGGCGTTGGAAATAGATGATCTCTAAGGTCCCTTCCAATCCAAGCCATTCTATGATCCTATAATTTAGAAAAGCACTATAATCTCCTGCCCTAGGGAGAATCTCAGGCATTGCGTGGTGTTGCTTCTGAAAAAACATGGGTGAAAAAGCAGCAGGGCAATGACCTGTGTATATTCAGATGCTCAGAGCAGTGCCTGTTGGATATGTCTGTGCACCTTGGGGGTTTCTTTGTCACAGATGTCTGTTTGAGAATGGAGGCTTGTGTGGCCTTTTGGGATGGGTTTTATGATCTTGCCCCATGTTCATCTAAGACTCAAAAAGGCTTCCAAGATTACAGCATTACTTCATCAATGTCTATAGTTATCTAGAGGGTGGGTGTCAAAAGGATGGAGCCAGGCTCTTCTGAGTGGTGCTGAGCAATAAAACAAGAGGCAATGGGTGGGCGATGGAGCACTGAACGGATTGCCCGGAGAGGTTGTGGAGTCTCCCTCACTGCAGATATTCAAAAACCACCTGCACACAATTCTGTGCCATGTGCTCTGGGATGACCTTGCTTGGGCAGGGAGGTTGGACCAGAAGGAGGTTGGACCACTGTGGTCCCTCCCAACCTGGCCCATTCCATGAGCCTGTGATTCTGTGAAGGGCAGTGGAAGAGCAGCAGGACAACAAATCAGGTGACTTTACTCATGTTTGTTATGCCATCCTGACAGGACATCAAAGGCTCAGAGAGGTTCAGTGAAGGAGGACGGAAGATGTTCTCCTTAGAGAACATTTTGGCAGTCGTTCCACTTCACAAGGAGAGATGAAAATGGTCACAATAAAATGTTAATAATTGACGGCAAACTACAGTATGGTAAACGGTATCAGCACAAATTTCCTCTGAAATCGGAAAACAGCGAGGTAAAACGCCAGTAAATGTTTAATTGCCACCTGTGCGGAGCTCTGCCCACGCCGCCACTCACGGGGCAGCCGCTCGGCCATCGGCTTACTACGGGCCGTGCCCGGCCTCGCCCGCCCAGCGGGCGGGTCTCGCGCGGCGCTCGATTTGAGCGGCCTTGTGCCTGAGCGCGGCGGTGGCGCGGCGGAGAAGCCGGGCCGGCTCCCGGTCCCGATGTGCTGCGGTGGTGATCGGCGGCCGGCCGGGTAGCCGCACGGGGCCTGGCCGAGGTGAGGCCGCTCCCTGCGGAGCCTTGGGCTTGGAGCGGGCAGTGCCGTGAGGTCGGGATGCACTGGGCCGTGGCGTTTCCCATTGGGTGGGTCTGGGCCGTGCTCCGCGCCGGCTCTCGGCCTGCGGGGCCTTCGGGCTGACGGAACTGGTTACGGGCTTCGTGGAGGAGAATGAGCGGAGGGCAGAAGCGCAGAAGCGAACCTCGAGTACTGTGTTCAGTTCTGGGTCCCTTAGATCAGGAGGTGCTGGAGCGTTTCCAGAGAAAGGCAGTGGAGCTGGTGAAGGGACTGGAGCACAAGTCCTACGAGGAGCAGCTGAGGGGGCTGGGGTTGTTCAGCCTGGAGAAGAGGAGGCTCAGGGGAGACCTCATCACTTTACAACTATTTAAAAGGAAGTTGTAGCCAGGTGTGGGTCGGTGACTTCTCCCAGGCAACAAGTGACAAGTGACAGGACGAGCAGAAATGGCCTCGGACTGCTCCAGGGGAGGTTCAGGTTGGACATCAGGAAAAATTTCTTCACAGAAAGGGTGGTTAGATATTAGAATGGGGTGCCCAGGTGGGCGGTGGAGTCACCGTCCCTGGAGGTGTTCAGGAGACGACTGGGCGTGGCACTTTTAGTGCCAGGTCTCTTTGACACGGTGGTGTTTGGTCATAGGTTGGGCTTGATCTCAAACATCTTTTCCAACCTAACAGATTCTGTGAAGAGCAGAACACCCACGCTGAGCTCGCCCGGGAGCTGTTGGGAGCATCCCGGCTCCCTGCCCCTTTCTCGGCGGGGCCTGTGTTGTGTAGCTGCGAGAACTGCGTATAAGTCCTGCTCTCAGTGACACTGATGATATAAATTGTAGGCAGTGACTTGTTATTTGCAGGAACTTCTTGTTTATGTGTCATAGTAGTTCGTAGTAGTCTTCTAGCACTTCTTAGTTTCTCATCCATGAAACACAGTTTGTTACATAGTGCACTGTACACTGACATCCTTCCTGCTACTCAGATTAAGAGTTTTACTAGATTTACTAGATTGTTGAGATTTTCATGTCTCTAAGAGTTTGGTGAAGTTCTTAGAGACTTAACAAGAATTAATTAACAATATTACTGGACTCTATACACATAGTGCTTTTGTAATTTAGACAAGTATGAGGAAGTAATTATTTTCCAGCTGCTGTTCATGAGCAAGTGTGCCAGTGTCATGGATGACTTCAAATGCCAGTATTTACTTTGGTGGAAGTTTGGATTTGTGCCAGTTTGGAAAGATGATGCGTGGGAATGTCTCTGACTTTTGTCACCAGTCAGAATGTTGGTTGCATTGCAGTCATATTTAGCAGGTTTGTGTGCAGTTGTTTTTGAAAGGAGGATGTGAAATATGATGCAGTTTTGTAAGATGTGCTAGAAAATAGCATTGTGTGTGTCCCTCACCAAAGTTTAAACTCTGGCTATGGTTTAGTTATACTGTGTTTTAATAAAGCATGAACATGAATCAAGATGTGGCCCAGTTCTTCCATTCACAGCTTGGTTAAACATGACCCACAGGACTTTTGTTCCCATTGTTACCACTGGTTTGTGGAATGACAATAATTTTGCTTCTCTGAGGAAAAACTGAATAACAAATATTGCTAAAGGTTAGTTTCTAAACTTCCCCCCCTGCTCTATGTAATATTATTTCATCTAATCATCTTCATAACTAGTTCTTAAATAGGTAAGAAAGCCCATAGCAGTGTATGGGCTATGGACTTAGGGTATTTTTTTCATGTGCTATGACTTCAGACAGATGTGTAGAGTGGCATTGCACTGGGTGAATAAAGAAAACCTCTAGCAAGGCTATCCTGAGTTCATGAAAGGTAAATTTCTCCGTGCCCATTTTTATTTTTACAGTGGAATTGAAAGTCATTTAGACTCAAGCTCCTGAATCTCTTCAGTTGATGGCCATGATGTTCATCTTAGACAGGGTGGTTCTGGAAATGGGAGCATCTAAGTGGGTCAATAGCCATCATGGCCAATAGTGGCTAATTTGTCATGCTCCATGGTGCATAAAATCAGTATGTATGTGAACTCTTGTATTCCATGTTTTTGGTGAATTGCATTTGAAAATCCCACTTTTAAACACTTTACATCATGGGGGTTTATAGGAAGTTATGAAGTTCAGATTAATATTTTGGTTTTTTTTTTTTTTGCTGTTTACTGTAGTGATGCTGACAGGTCCTGCATAAAAACATGCAAGTTGGGAATGGATTCCATTAGCATCACTCTCCAGCTTTCCCTTCTAAAAACATGATTGCTATAAGAGAGTCCAATTAATAGTTTCTATAAAAAAGTAGATTTCTTCAGAGAAAGAATTCTCATTTAACCCTATGTTTTGCTAAATATTAATGTATGTTTCCTCGGTACAGTATTGCTAATGTACTGAGATTTGCTTAGACTATTTAGAACTCTCATTTTTTAAGGCATGTTTTGATTACCTTTGGCAGCTGACTCCAAGATTTCATGTTTGTCTGGCTTTTCTTTATAGCCATGCAGTTTCTACTTGCATTATTTTAGAAGGAAACTGCTATTCACACGTGATTGCATAAAATGAGGAACATGAAATGCATCAGATAGCACAAAACCAAGATAAAATCACAAGAACTTAATTTAGAAATTAGGAACTCTTAATTTTTAAAATAAACACAAGTTTCTTTCGCCATTTTTTCACCTTGTCATTCTTAGCTTATGAAGAATAGTATCATAGTACCAATGTCAAAGTAATAGAAAGTAATTTATTAATCTAGCAAGAAGATGTTCAAATTTTTGAGGATAATATGTTTGCCTTTGCTGTGGTATTACCTGTCATGTATGCTGCGTGCTGTACAGTGTTCTGTAGTTACTGTTTTACAGTGTAGGTTCTGTTGAAGTCCTCAAAGGGGAGACAGTCTTGGAAGTAAGATGATGTTGACTGTTGTGTAAAATAAATCCAGAAGGAGAAGAGTGCTGCCACTGAGTTACCATTGAGCTGTTTTGTTTTTTAAAAAAATAATGTTCCAGAATGTGTAAGACATTAATTACAAAAAAGTTGTCTTGAAGTAAACTGATGATTGAGATTGGCAGAACTATTATTCCTTGAAACTGCAGTTCTGTGCAGTATTTTATTGACCCTACCTGATGATCAACTTGTTCCAAGTGATTGATTGTCCTTTTAATTAATAGTCTAGGTGGGGGTAATTGCAAATGCTGTTCTATAAAATGATTAATCATTCTCTACATTTTTTCAAGTGGTTGGCTTTGGTATTTTGTGAATAGAGTAGCAATGGATGATTTATATATTATGTAACAGAACAGCATTTGTTCTTATTTGTTTTAAATATATTGTCTTTATATAGGATTTTAAAATTGAACAACAGATGAAAGATATGAAAGATTCACAAACGTCTCATAAGATGTGTAATTTAATGAAAAACTGAGTGTATGGTGAATTGAGTCATGAAGCTGGCTCCACATGACAGCTCATAACTAAACTGGGTTTTCATCATGCTGTATCAGCGATTAAAGCAGTACAAAATATTTTGTTAAACAGAAAATACCATATTATAATTTAAAATGCGTGCAACAGAAAGCTATTATTTACTTGAAATAATAAGAAATTATATTTTGTAATGATTTTCATTCAGGCAAAATGGTATTTCAGGAGCTTCACACATGAGTCTAGGTTGTTAGAAGTTACAAAGACCTGATGAAAATAATTATGTCAGTACCAAATAAATTTAACTCATTTTTTATGAATTTTAGAAATCCTCTGTACAGACAGTTGGTGAAGAACAAACACAGAATCCTTACACGGAGCTCCTTGTGTTGAAAGGTCATCAAGATATAGTACGATTTCTAGTGCAAATAGATGACTGCAGGTATGAAATGCCATTTCAAATTGTTTAATAGTGTCCTTGGCAATACTTCAGAGAATATTTGTGAATATGTAGTAATATTTGTAATCTTCCCTTTTTTTTTTGGTGGGGGAGGGCAGGAAAAATTTGAGTTAAAAAAACAAGGAATGAACACTCTCTTTTCTTGGTATGTTACTGTGTCTTCTCTTTTAAGGTTTACTTTAATGAGAAAATAATGGTGAATGAGTTACGTTTCTTGGTACCAAGTCATTGGTTAGGAAGAAATGTTCTTTTTAGTCTGTTCCTATTTGAGCGTTCCCTTCTGTACATGCATATGAACTCTTTCTCACAGGACAACATGCAGTAGTGTCTTCTTCTGCTCTGAGCAGATACATGTGTTTTGCATTTCTGAATTGAGAATAGCTGTTATTTCACCTTTTGGTTCTATGAAAGAGTGTAATAGGCTCCTTTAGGCACACTGTAGCAATTAGCCATGACATCTTCAACAATACTGAGCGATGGTTGCTGTTCCTTTCTTTCCCATCTTCTGCTGCACTTTCTTCCAAAGCTATAGTACTTAATTCATTTGAGCTTTAGTTAATGCAGGGTTTTTTGACTTTTCAAATATTGAAATTTTCACCACTTTATTCAGAATGACTGCTTAGCAAAATTCATCACATGCCTAATCTCTGCATTTCATTTCTCTTCCAATTTGATCTTATTCAACTTGCTGTACTTCTTTGAAACCTGATCATTCTTTTGTTTCTCTCGGTCAGTTTTTTGTATATTCCCTGACAGTTTTTATCTGTTCTATTCTTCTGAAGACTGAGCTGTCTATCTTCTGAGGACAGAGTTATCTAAAAACTGGAAAACTGGTTAATAAGCAGAGATGAAGTCATTGTATTTACCTTTGTCCCTTTGGAAATGTGACTGAGAGACTGTGTTATGATAGTTGTACGTTACAACCTGGCTTCTATTCTAGTTTTTTCTAGATTAACCTTTCATGTTCTTTAATTATACTTAATCCTAGAAGAGAAGAAATAATTTTCCACCTTAAAAGTAAGGTTGTGAATTCTTTAGTCAGTAATAAAATGTAGTGACTCTTGGCTGATGTGGAGAATAAAATAGAAAACGTTTAGAGATTAAGAATGTAAGTAGTAGGCAAGGAGCTGTAGTAATTTATATCTTTTATGGATTAGACTCAGAAGGGAATTTCTAATATATTTATCAATACACTAACAAAGTTAACATGGATAACAGCTTGTTTTAATCCTAGCAGTGTATAGCAGGTGTTTTGTGAAGGAAGGTTCTCTCCTTCCCCATTCACATTGATTGGAGGAGATCATGCAGGTAGTCTCTTCCAATTCAGGAATGCCCATAGAATCCTGTTTTCTAATAAGATTTGTAATTATATATATTAATATACATATATATATATATAATATATATATATATATGTATATATAAATTTCACAGAAGACTCCATGGAGGCTCTTTAGCGTGTCAGTTTTTATTCTTAATGTCATAAAAAATATATATATTAGAAAAGTTACATGTGTTACCATAAAGTTTATTTTTCCGCATTGTAGTAGTCCACCAGAAAATTCCTACAAAAATGAAAGAATCTTGTGGCTTTTTTTTCAGTCCTTTTTGACCCAGACCAGTTATTAAAATAACTCTTTATCAAAGTATGTTTTCTCAAAACACTTACTGCATAGAGGTAATTGATTTTTGTAGAAATACCAGAGTATTCTTAAATTGCTGTGTGATACAAAGAAACTGCTTGCCATTTTGGGCTTCTTTCTTTGGTGGCAGGTAAATTACTGAAGCTAAACTAATGATAATCATTGTAAAGCTAAAGTCTGGGTGGCTGCATTTAATATAGACTGTAAAATAGCATATGGATAAGGAGTAAGTTATATAGCTAGTTAACATTCTGAGAGTTTGAGGAGTTTAATAGAGTTGCTTCACTGGACAGTAATTCTGAGTTTTTATTTATCAAGAATATGGTATTTTCTGGATTGTTAAACACCTGATAATATTATTCACTTGATTCTTTTCAGTAAAATTAGTATTGTTACTCAGATTCTGAAATGTTTTTATTTAGTTTCTGCAGCTATTCCATTGTGTGCTTTTTGTCAACTATTGTAAGCCAAATTTCACGCTTCAGGTCTTTAGATAATATCATCTTAGTGAGAATTTTGCAGAAGGATTTTCTTGTTTTCTCAGTGGCTCAGCTAAAACCAGTGAGTGGAAAATTTTCTCAGATTGGTTTTTGAAGATACTAAATAAATCCTATATGAATGTAACAGAAAGCTGGTTGGCTTTTTTTTGCTTTTTTTTTCTTTCTTCTTTGCTCTTGTACTTTTCGAACATGAAGTAAGGGTCATATTGATTAGAAGATCACTAAAGAAGGCTAAGCCTGAGCAAGAGTCTTCCAAAAAGTGGACTGAAATAAAATTGCATGTAACGCCCTAGCATTCGATACATTACATTAAACAGAGTTCATAACACATTTTAAGAACAGTTTTTTTTGTTGCTCATTTGACCATTCCTTCCTCCTTCAGGAAACAGACAAGGTTATAGATGGTGGTGATCTTGACTGGAAAAGAATGAGGTGTCCCATAAGGAGCATATGTAGGCAGATGGTTAGATAGTCACTCTAACCTAGAGAAAAAGATTGAATTCAAGTCAGACTTGGTTCATGCGAGATTAACATGCTAATTGGAACTTGTGTTTTCCTCATATGGTATGCCTTCCATGTGGATTTTTATCAGAAGTCAAATTTAGCACCTTAAATGTGTTGCCCTTTGAAGTTCTTTTAAGCCACACTCTAAATTACAATGGTAAATACTGGACTACTCTGTTCTGAATCCAAAAAATCAGTCTGAGAAACTGCTCAGAGACTTTTTTTATCTTTAAGCAGCAAGGTATTTGTTTATTCAGCGTTGGGAGCAAGCCAGCTCGTACTGGACAAACTTACTCTACTTGCAAGTGCAAAACTAAGCCATTTTATACACTTTAGATACATGGTTACATCATTTATTATACATATTAATAAGTAGACTGGTCTCTGGGCGGAGTCTTTCCAGACATGCGCAATTTTCTACTGTAGGGGTCTTCTCCTCAAGCCTTCATCCCTCTGGTGGTTGCCATGGACCTCTTCCTCGATTTGACCTCTTCAATTAGGTGACCTGAATTCTTCCAGCTTGCAAAATCCTGGCTCTGGGCCTTCTAGATCTTATCCAAACGTCTGATTTACCTAATTTATTTCTGCGTGTGTACTACTCCTGTTCTTTCTATAATAAGGCCTTTGGTCCAGTGAGCAGAACAGAACATGATATTAACCAGTGCTCCTAAAATGTTCTTCTGGCAAAACAGGTATTGAGGTTTCTTAGCAGGCCAGGATATCTCAGTTAACTCTTTTAGGCCTGGGTCCTGTTTCAGTTCCTGGGCTGAACCCAGACAAGTGGTTTGTAACTTGTTAGATGTCTTATAGTTGACTCTGACTAATAGTATTTGATTTTAAAGTGGTGTTTCAGATCTCATATTTTTAAACAAGAGAATTGGTTCTTTTGTGGGGGGTTCTTTTTATAATAGTACATATTGGAATTCCTACATCTTGTTCTTATATTAAGTATATGTTGATAAATACCTATTCAAATGTACTGACTTCAGTTTAGAAACTATAATTGGGATTTACAAATACATGTTTATTCTGTAAAGACAGATTCTGATATATCTTGTAAGTATTTCTCTTCCATAAGTGTTTACTGCTTTTCCATTACGTTATGCTATATTGAAGTTTTCAGTTTGTTGTGTTTTTTTTGTCTCTTTTTCTTCAGGTTTGCATCTGCAGGAGATGATGGAATCGTATGTCTATGGAATGCTCAGGTTAGGTGATTTTTTGGGGGCTGGCTTGTGTGTTCTGGAGAGGGTAGAAGTTATGGAGAGGAGTTAGAAATGTCTAGAAATGAAAAAGCAGAATAAATAAGAGTTGCTGCAAAGCTGTTTGAAAATGTACAAGTGGAGGGAGCCTCTTAAATTTTAGTTTACAAAGGAGAGTTAGGGTATTAAAAATTGTGTGAACTCAAGAGAAGGATAAGTTTTGAAAGTTAGAATGTTTTGGGAAGACATAGTGATTTTAGAGAGATTTTAGATGAAATGATGATGTGAAAAGCAGAAGTGTGTATCAATGTGTGCCTTTAATTACTCTTTAAAAGTGTGTTCTGTGTTTGCTGTTAACACCAAAATGTTGACTAGTAACTCAACAAATATGTAAGAAGATCCCAAACCTGCCAGGATTTTTATATATACTTAAGTTTTAAGTACATTTCAGTAGCTTTACTAGTAATACCTGTTTGTGGTATAACTGATTAGGCTAAATGGTGAGCTAGCACAAAACTCTATTGGAAAGATACCAAAGTGAGTAGAAGTTCAACATTTCATGCAGTGCAGGAACAGGGCCTTAATTGCTTGCTGTGATAAAAATCTTGTAACTTTTGAAAACCTTACAAAGACATTAGTTTTATCATGGAAATAGTGCTCTGTTAGTGACACCAGCTGTTCTGGTCTTCTGCTCTGTGTCTCTGTATCACTGACAAAATTGTAGAAGGGATGAGCATTAGACCTGTGTTAAGGAGGTCTGGTATATGAGTTACATTGTTCAATAAGAAGTCTGAAGGGGAGACATGCTGTACTGTCTAAAGTGTATCAAACATTCAAATTGAGGAAGAAAAAAAACTCAGACTGTAAATTTTTTAAAAATCTTCTGAAAAATTTATGCGACATTTATGATGGTGTAATTTTAAAATACAGAAGGGGAGACTTGAAATTTCTCTCTTTTGAGCAGTTTCAATTAGAGCTGTGCTGTAGTTGAAGGCCTTTTGTGATTTTTTAATTCTATAATTTGGAAAAGTAAAGGAGTCTTGAATATTAAAACCCATATATGTGAATATATATATACCCAGTGTTCTGAGCAGTTTGTCACTTAGAACTCAGCTTATGAACTGAGTTCCATTTTCTACTTTTGTTGGAATTTTATTAGTTTAAAACATTAACCCGCAACTGTAAAGAAGTTTGCAGCTAAAATAACGCTGTATTTTAGTTGCACGTTTAAAATGCCAGTATGCTTCTCTATGTTTGTTTGTGGAGTTTTGCCTTCTAAACACAGCAGAAGTAGCTCCGGTTGTCCAAAGCACCATCTTGAATCTACAGATGATGTATGTGCTAAATAAAGCTGGCAGGAAATTGACAGTACTGTGTTTACCATAAATATGGGTCAAATTTTTCTAATAATTAAAAAAAAATACTTTTTCAGGAGAGGGTTTGTCAACAAATCTGAATTACCAAAGTGTTCATGGGTGAATGGCCAGTATTTGCATTAAAATTAAATGAACTAAATGCAGAATTTCGGTCTCAAGGGCTTTTAGAGGGTTTTTTACTCTGAGAGTAATTTGTGTTATGTCCTTTAAACCTGTGCTTGGTATCTTATTTAATCTTGAATAGCATTGATGGTAGTAAGAAACAAATCCGTAAGTTACTTTAGAAAGGGAGATTTGAGACTCTTAAAAATTCTTACTTTCAAAAATCATGTGGTACCTATGTTTTATGCTACAGTAGGCATTTTCCATGTTTTACACTTAGTTTTCCGTGGTTTTGTTTTTCAGACTGGAGAAAAACTTTTTGAACTTCATGGACACACACACAAAATTACAGCTATAGCACCGTTTTCTTCGTCAGATGCTTTTGAAGAAAAAAGACATTTGATTATAACAGCCTCAGCTGATAGAACAGTTATTGTATCCTTTGATCTGGAGAATATTCAAATTTCTATCAGCTTTTTGTGATTTTTTCTTTTAAAGGTTGCACAGAGACAGGCTGCAGGCTGTCTCAAGACGTATTGACCAATAATACCCACTGGGTGTAATTGGGTTACACAGGAGTTTTACTAGTTATTGCTCACAAGTAGATGTAGTCCTTGCTACAAAAATGAATCCATAACAGACCTTTATTAATATGCCATTTAGGCCAAATATTGAAAAGACAGAGTTTAGAAGACTGAGACACTGCATACCTCTTTCCTAATCTGTCCCAAACAAAGCATTTATATTTATAATGCATAGAAACCTTTCAGTTTCCTTAATGAATAAAGACAGGTTTGGGACTGCACTAGTGGCAGACAGGTTCAGAAAGTGTCATGTTTCCATTCTACTGTAAAGGTATGCTAAAGAGACCTTATGAATGTCTGTTGTTTTGTTATATACAATAATTATTATGTATGGCTTGTAGGTCCTATGGGCAGGTGTTAAAATGAACAGCAATGTTTGGTGTAAGCAGTGGTACATAATGAGTGGCTGAGAAGTGGGTGTTTTTCAGACTCTTAATACCTCAATTTTCTTTTTGAAAGGATGTAGAACAAAGGTAACTGGTATGGCTTGGTTCTGTTACTGTGTTGCAAAAGACAACCTACCTTTAAATTAGTTGTTGACTCTTAATAGTAGGGAAAAAATCAATGAAAAAATAAGGTTTTGCATTGTTGATGAAAAATGTAGCATGTAATTAAATTTGTGTTTCTCAGGGAAGTGACACCTTGATACTGTGCTTCATAGTACTTACAGATTTATTTAACTAAAGCTCATGATCATTTTACTGAGAAATTCCCTGTAGAACTTTTGCAGGAGACATATATCTGATTTTTGTTCTGCAGTGTTTGACAGTTCTTCAAAGACTGGATGTATGGTTGTCTGGAGGGAGTGATCTATGTGTTTGGAACCGAAAATTAGATCTCTTGTGTAAGACCAGTCATCTTACTGATGCAGGTAAGAATGTAAATGACTCATTATACCTGTTAAAGTGCAAGTAAAATGGATCTGTATAATGATGCAAAACCAACTTGGCAAATTTCCTTTAATTCTAATGATAACATTATTTATTAGAGCCACTCGCTCTTTTTTTAAATGTCAGACTTAATAGTTTCAGAATTAAGACTGCTTTTAATCTCCTGTACTGTGTGAATTTTAGAATATGTCAAATCTCAGTAACTGTACAATAGCTTGGACTTACAGGGATAGACCTTGGATGCTGGTCTGTATGTGTTTGCTGTAACATGTACCAGATTCTTTGACTGGCTTTTTGTGTGATCAGGTGGGAGTTCTGTTATTCCTAAGTGAGCTTTGTAGAAGTATAACAGTAGAGATTACTTTTTATTATTAAGAATCAGTACTTTTTATGTAGAAAATGCAGGTTTTGATAGGAATATAATAAATGTAATCAGATATCAATGTCAATCATGCTTTTATATTAATAAATTTATATTTTGTATGTCCATATGAAGAAAATTGTCACATGTTATTGATGTGCTTTACCAAGGTACCTGTAAAGCTGTGAATTCCATTTAAAGTTGGAACTAATATTGTCCTTATTTTTGTCATGGAATAGAGCAGTGGTAGGCAAAGCCTTCTCAATCTTTGAGGATATTAATACTTCTTTTGAAAGTATTGATTATGAAATATTATGAAGTATTATGCTAAATACTAGCTGGTAGTGTTGCTGTGGTGCTTTGTATGAAGTGCTATTGAAACTTTGGTACAAGGAGTCAATGGGATGTGTAGCAGGGGCCTTGTCTTCTATTCTAATCTCATGCTTCCTTTGTGGGGAAAGAGATTGCTTATTCCTTGGGCAGTTTTTCTTTAATGATGCGGTGGCACAGACTGGGAAAATTCTGTGCAGGATTAAGACAGACTAACAATTAAGACACAAAGCAAGTTGGACATCTTAGGCCTTACTCTTCTTCTGCTGGCTCTGCACAGTATTTTAGAATTGTGTGTATTGAGGTATGTACAGTATCTAATAACTTTGGTACTACCTTTGTTTAGAATCTTAATAATTACCATGGTGTCCTTAGTACTGTCCAGCATTAGGACATAGATATCTTAACTGTATTTAAAATAAACTTTCAGTTTCACTGCAAGTTAGATGTCCAGAATTCTGCTGGATTCGGGACCAAAAGTCCTGACCTTGCCCCTGTTTGAGATGATCTGTTCAATTCTGATGCCATTTAACTTTTATTTCAGGCAATATGCTTCTGTTTTGATTATAATTTCCAAGTGGAAGGAAGATTGTTAAGAACTTTATTAATAAGGAATTAACAGTTTGCTGTGTTATAAACAGTGGTTATCCTTTTCTCCCTTATCCCCTGGTTTTTTTTCAAAGGTATCAGTGCTTTGGTTGAATTGCCCAAAAACTGTGTTGCAGCAGCTGTAGGCAAAGAGCTAAGTGAGTATGTTGCATTTATGTGTTCATGTTCCTTTATAACAGCTGCTTATCAGAGATATGTGTAAAAAACACACTGCTGGAATTGTATAGGGAAAGTAAATGGTATTAGAGTGTGATCAGCAACCTTCTTTTTCCATTCTTCACGAAGAGGAGACAGTACTAATCTTTTTGAGGAATCTTATAGATGAAACTTTTCTATATTTAGAATCATAGAATTATTAAGGTTTGAAAAGACTTTCAAGATATCAAGTCCAACCTTGAACACCACCATGCCAATTAAACCATTGCACTAAGTACCATGTCCAGTCATTTCTTGAACACCTCCAGGGATGATGACTCCACCGTATCCCTGGGCAGCCCATTCCAATGCCTGACCACCCCTTCAGTGAAAAAATTCTTCCTGATATCCAACCTGAACCTCACCTGGTGCAACTTGGGGCCACTTCCTTTTGTCCTGTCACTTGCCACCTGGGAGAAGATGCCAGTCCCCACTTCTCCACAGCCTCCTCTCAGGTAGCTATAGGGAGTGATGAGGTCTTTTTGAACCTGCTTTTTTTCATGCTAAACAACCTGAGCTCCTTGCTCTTAAGACTTGCGCTCCAGACCCTTTGCTATCTCTCTTGCCCTTCTCTGGACAAAGTGAGGGGCCCAGAGCTGAACACAGCTGGATTTGAGGTGCAGCCTCACCAGTGCTGAGTACAGAGGGACAATCACTGCCCTGGTCCTGCTGGCCGCACTGCTGATACAGGCCAGGATGCCGTTGGCCTTCCTGGCCACCTGGGCACACTGATGGCTCATGTTGGTCAAGCAGGACCTGCCTTTCTTAAACCCATGCTGGCTGGTCCTGGTTCCCTGGTTGTCTTGGATGTGCTGTGTGATCACACTCAAGATAATTTGTTCCATCACCTTCCCTGGCACTGAGATCAGGCTGACAGGCCTGTAGTTCCCTGGATCCTCCTTCTGACCTGTCTTGTAGGTGGATGTCACACTGGTCAACCTCCAACTGACTGGGACCTCCCTGGTTAACCAGGACTGATGATAAATGACAGAGAGTGGCTTGGTGAGCTCCTCCACCAGCTCACTCAGTGTTAATGCCATCTGTCCAGATCTGTCTGGGGCAATTGACATTTGTCCTAGTGCAGAAGGTCTGGGACTGCTTATCTGAGCTGTCAGATGCTAGGCTTCTCTAGAGCCTCCTTATCCCAGGATCAGAAGCTATAATGAGACAGTGTGATGATTTCTTTTGCTCAGTTGGAGACAGAATTATCTATGTATGCAAACTGGAAGTCATTGGCTAGCTGTTGGTGGAGAGTCTTTTTGGTAAGTGCTGTGTAAAATTACTGAAATTTCAAAATAGGGAATAAAATCCAGGAGCAAAAGTAGAGCATTATATCAGCAAAAAAGCAGATGTTGCTCAAGATGATTAAATACCTAGTTGAAAAATTAGCAACCTGATACTTTGATCAAAGAATCAGGAACAAATTAAGAATAGTCCTCTTGTGTTTAGACATAGAGATACAATACAAACTTCCATCTAAACTTCCCACACTTCTTTTGCAGTACCCTTGAGATAGAAAAGAAATTCCAAGACTGGTTAAAATAAAGTCTTAATTCCTGATGATCTCAATTGTCTTACTAGAGAATATTGCATCCTTTTGAATATTAATTTTTCAGTGAGATGAGTCCTCAAGAAATGTTTCACTTTTAGTTTATTCATCCATAAAGATGTCTAATACTTTTCACTTCTGCTTTCTACAGCTTCTGATGTTGACCAGGTCTATAAATTTCAGAGTAACAAGGCTAAAATGTTTTATCCTAGAGTTGCTGTAGTAAGAGGCCTTAATGATAACACTGAAATAATTCATTCCCATTTTTTGATGTCATGAGTGACCATAAGTCTTGTCTCACTTATGTTTTAGTTTGTGCCTCTCTGTGTTTTATTTAAGTATAGTTCCATCTTATTCTGAATGAAAGAGCTTATTTAGACAATTTCTCTTTCTTTGAAGTAATTTTTAGGTTGACTGATTCTAACAATGAGTCTGAAGGTTGGAATGTCCTTGAAGTAAAGCGCCTTGTTGACCATCAGGATAACATTTTGTCATTAGTCAGCGTCAATGGTAAGAGTCGTTTTATAATGTTACTGCTTTTGTTAGTTACCAGTGGGATAAACCTATGGAGTTTTTTTGGGACCAGAGTTTTAACTGGAGTGAAACTACTTTACTAGTGGATGTACTATCTTGTGTAGCTGCAAAGGTAGTGACATGTCAAAATATAATTGCATTGTTTATGGATTACAATGGGATGAAACCAGGCAAGTTGCAGTGTTGAAGAGAGGTAATGTCATTGATGAAAATGGAGCTCTGGGTCTTCTTTCCGTTAGAAAAGTTAAAAATGCTACTTTTTCCCTTGCTCCTTCTGACTCTTAAAATGGGATATGCGAGACCATGTTCCTTGCGGTTGTTGTCCCAAGGTAACTGAAGGTTCTGAGGGTGCAGTTGTGGATCTGCATAGAGATTGTAGAGGGGTCTAGAAGATGATACAGGCAATACTGAGCTATTACCTGAAATTCAGCCCCTTCTACTCTGTTCTTGCCTTTTTTTTTTTTATGGAGCACCCACAGAATCCAGAACAAGTTATTACTGGTGTAATAGAAAGTGTGTATTTGTCCTTGAGTGTATCTGTGTCGGCCTGGTTGGCACAAAGGGACTTTGTTACAGAGGTAACAAGAAGCTGGAAAAAAAAGAAAACTTAGATTCTATGGTACTTGTTTCTGGGCTTAACTGTTGTCATTATTGTCTCCTTTTGGATTATGAAGAACAAGCAATGTTTGGCTTAAAGAGACAATATGCTACCTGCATTAAATATTGCTGTAGTGGTTCCTTCCCAGGTATGAAAAACAAATTCATGACGAGCTACTTCAGTCTTGCCATCCACTTAATTTGTGATCTGTAATTCTATTTATGGCATAGACATACTTTGTTGCTTCTGAGGGGTGTCCAAACACCTACTTGTCCAAGGAATAGAAGGGCTTTCTATGTAGAAATGGAGTTCAAGTACTTGCACATACTTCTGGTGGTGTTCCTTGCCTTTGCTATGCAGTACTGTGCACTGTGGTCAGTGAATGTTCTCCTTCCTAATTTTAACTTTACAGGAGAGCTCATCTCCTTTTGCTCATCTGAGGTGTACTAGGTAATAAAATGAGTATTTACTCAAAGAAAGGGGGTTTAGTCCAGTCAGTTATGTACTGCACATTGTACATAGCTTTACACGAAAATGTAGAGCTTTACTCTTACCTTTCTAGAGTTGTAACTTTGTGTGAAATGTCACTTTTCAATATAATGTTTTTTTCCCCCCTGCAGACTTGACTTTTGTGACCGGCTCTCACGTAGGTGAGCTAATAGTTTGGGATGCACTTGACTGGACAAAGCAGGCATCTGAATGCAACTTCTGGGACTCCTCTGTCCATCCAGATGTACAGCCAGAAATAAAGTTATCCCAAAGCCCAAATGAAACTTCAGTTCAACACCTAACGTCTGATGAGGAGGTAAAAAGCTTTAAATACAGTAAACTAATTCAAGTAAGCTAGGATGACCTTACCACAGAAGACCAACTGCTTTGTGTTTTCAGTTTCCTTGTTTTAATATGAGAGATTTCTTCTAAATGTGCACAGCTATTTTTATACAGTCAACAGTTTTTATACAAAGTATTGGGTGTTGAGCTAACTGAAGGTTACAATATGTTGATGGTATTGGGAACTAACATAATGGACTTTCAACAACAGCATTTCTTTTTGACTGACAAAGATTTATTAGCTGTTTACAGTACCACTAGAGAAAAAATAAACAGGAGGTGTATGTTTTGATGGCATACATCTTTCATATTCCATTCTTCTGGAAATGCAGTTTTCACAATAATGCACCTTTGAACATTTATATCTGAAGGTACTATGGAGTGAATTTAAGAATAGGCATATGTCTATAGTAAATCAATATTGCTCCTACTGTTCAGATGGGCCATACTCAATTGTATACACAAATATGTATACAGGATCCAGGCTACTGTAATAATGCTTTGGACATAAGTTCTTGATCGGAATACTCTGTCAGAACCCAGTTATTGTTCAGCAAACACTAAAAGTTGTCAGGTTATTACTTACTTTTGTGAAATGTTACCAACTGTTAGTGGCAACGTAAAAGACGTTTCATAATTGTCATGTAGGTCAGTTACTGGGGAATGATTAAGAAAGGGATTCCTGGAAATGGATTCAGAGATATGAGCTATAACAAAGTAAAAGCTGTGGAAAAGCCTGAATCCCTAAAACCCTGGAGAGAGAAACATTATGGGTTGTGGGCAGAAAAAAAGATGTAGTTATATCTAAAGGTAGGATTTGCAGTGTTATCAATGCTTATTTCTACAATGAGCCAAAAACAAATTTTATTTAGGGTGAAATCTATAATATGACTTTAAAATACTTTGATTTTCTCCTTGAAAGCTACACAAGATGTGTTTTAAGGGAGGGGAAAAGAATTTTGAGAAGGTCAGAAGTTGTTATAACATTGAACGTGGAATCTGAGGCTACTGAAGGCTTTCTTCGGTGCATTCAAATTGCTGTGAATTTCATTCATCGTGAGAGTTTTGAATGGTGAGAAGTAAAGGTGGTTCTAGCGTTAATCTTGAAATAGAAGCTGTTTTAAGGCAGAGCTGTCTGTATTGTAAAGGTCCTACTTAAAAAGTGGTGAAGAAATGTATTTTTATAACGCAGATGTTTTAAAATGTATTTTTAAAAGCAGAATGCTGTTCTTCATGTTAAAAAAAAAAGTGCAAAATATGTGTTTTCTCTGTTTTCCAGGCTTGGTAGTTGGGTGGTTGGAGAAGATGCATGTGTCTAGTTTGACACTGAGATTGTAGGCAAAACATGATTCAGAAACAAATGGGGTGGTATAGGTTTGGCAGTACTGGGAAACAGTGCTAGGGAGTGCGTCTGGTGCCCTGATAAGCATGTGTTTGTGTTTAGTTGCCTTTTAAGATAGATGTACAATTTATGCTTCATCATCTTTTATTTTCTTGGGGTTTGAGATGACCAGGATTTTACCAGGGCTTGTGAAAAAAGAAGAGTGCTCTATGAAAAGCATCTTTTGCAAAGCTGTAAGACTGTGTGACTCATGGAGGATGAGTGATGTGGAAGACCACTGAATTTGAAGCTCACACAAAACTAGGAAAATAATACAAAATGACTCAGTGGGTTATTTTTCCTCTTGATTCGGTAATGGTGCTATCAGAAATCTGTTTAGTTTCAGTGCTTCCACAGCAGATGTGCATAAGAAAAAAGCCAAAACTCTGAACAAAAACCTGGATAAAGAGTTTTGAACAGTGTCAAAACATCATTGAATATATATACAGAAAATCTTAGTCAAAGACAGTGGGTTACAATTTTTACAAAATATTGACAGATGTGTAGTGTGAACTGATTATGAGACATTGATGTTTGGTTTGTGTAAGTGGAAGCAGGCCATTCAGGGAAATGTTCCAGCATTACATCACCATACATCACCTAAACAAGGTATGTTCAAAACTGCAAAAATGTACTGAATGGAAGCATTTTGCACGCTCCTGGTACTGAATATTAATCATCTGTACATACATATGATTGTACATTTGCCCGCTCTAAGATTGTCACAAGTCACAAGGGGGTCCAGGTCCAAAGATGTGTAAGCTGTTTCTGGCTTCTTAGGGTCATGATGGTTGCAGGATGGAATGCCTTCACTCTTCTGAAGAAAAGCATTGAATGCAAAATGCACTATTGTGTAGTACTTTCCTGTGAGAGAGTTCCTTTTCTGTACTCAGTAGAGTTGAAATACTTGAACAAGGCCTCCTTGTCCAGCTTCAGTTAAATTTCAAGAAGAGGCAAAAATGCAGAACAGCTTCCTGTATTCTCAGGCTTTCTTGATAAAACAAAAGTTTTTCAAAACACAGAGCATTATTTTAGTGTAAGAAAGTAAATGTTTAATTGCAGAAGTGTATTGATTTGTTGGTATCCTAGATTACTGCTTAGACTGTAAGGTACAGGTTAAAAATACAGAAACTAACTGCTTAGAGTATAGGAAGATATTGCACATTTGCTCAAAAAAAAATCCATATTGTTTTTATATGACTTACTAATTTCATATGTTTGGGATAAGGCAGCAACAGGAGGAAACAGAAACAAGCTGGATAGTGCAGGCTAGATGACATCACAGTATCTCTGGAAATCTGTTACATGTGGGATGATTTTTCAGTATCTGTTTCTGCAAGTTATTCCATTAAATTTTTTTTCCAGTATGTGTTTGCTGCTGTTGGGAAAGGCATATATGTATATAATCTTCAAATGAAGTGTGTGATTGCCTGTCAGAGAACTGCTCACGACTCCTCTGTGCTGCACATCGAGAAGCTTCCAAACAGGTACAAGTCACAGTACATTTAGTTAATGCAATAAAGAAAAGCAAAACTTGGAAGGGTGACTAGACAGACTGCATTTCTAGGGCAGGGACTTATCTGCAGTTCGATCTGCTTTTATTAGGTAGAGCTTGTTGATCTGGTTTTTGAAAATTCATCATTGTAATTCAACAGGAAAAGACTATAATCCAGTATATCCAGATAGGTACACAGGCTGAAAATATCTCAGCTATTTTCAAAATCAGACCTGATAAAGCACTTTTGTCTACATTGTGAAAATACAGCTTAATGGCATTTTACTTCTATAAAGCAAAGGCATATGACATATTCAGTAAATATTTTTCACTAAATATTTTGTAACAATTGAAATGTTTTAACAAAAAGTAATAATTTCCAGCCTTTGTTCATTAGTGCTGAATTTCTAGCTCGATCTTGATTTGAGAGCCAACTTGGACAATCTGCTGCATATATATATATGTATATTCTAATAGTAGTTGTGTTAGATCCCTTTATACTCTTGTTCAGTGAAGCAAAAGTCTATCAGAAGATAAAAATTAGGGCCTTGATTGTGTAAATGCATGTGCTTTATGAAATAGGGTACCTTTCCTTTTGTTATTTTTCTGTAAGAAAAGGTTTTTGCTTAATGAAAATAAGCTTATGGACACCATTTAGTTGAACTATGTTTGCAGAGTGTAAACTTATGTTTTGTTTTACATAGTGGTATGCTTTTAAAAGGGGGTGGAAAATGTTTATTTTTTCCACCTATTCTACAAGCCTGTTATAGTTTGTTCTGCTACAGATGCACTTTGAGGCAACTTGCTGTCTCTTTTATAGAAACATCACAAGGTGATTTTCACAGATAAGTATCCAATGCTAGTGTTGCTTATCAACTGTTTTTACAGGCAGCTGATCTCCTGCTCAGAAGATGGCAGTGTGCGCATTTGGGAACTCAGAGAAAAGCAGCAGCTGCCAGCTGAACCAGTTCCGACAGGTTTGCTAGTAGTGGGGGGTGAAAAGAACATTTCAAAACATAACAGGAGACCCAATATTCATATAGGAATAGGGAGGCTTTCAAGCTTTGTAAGAAGAGATAATATATTGTGTTCAACCAACTGATAACAGGTCTGGGTGAGAAACTGAAGAAGGGATGGGTATACAAGCCCCCCAAAATCTGATATGGGACATTAAAAGGTCTAGGTAAAGCAGTTCTGTACCATAAAGCTTATTTAAAGTTTACAGTTGTATCAACCAGTTTAACAAAAATTAGGACCTCTCCTGAAGAACCTTCATCCTTCCCTGTTTGTACCAAATAGTGCTGAATCCTCTACCATGTAAGATTAAATAGTTGCAGAACTATGTGCAGAAATCTAGAAAAACTTGCAGATGAGCAGCTGGCACAAAAAAAAGGAAGTGTTTTCCACATCTCTTCTTTGAACTTTGAGGCTCTATACAACCTCACTTGCATACTACCTCTGGGCATTGGAGTCCTCAGGGCTAGTTGCTGGTGTTAGAGCAGCATTTTCCTCAAGTACAGACATTCACAGAATCATAGAATAGGTCAGGTTGGAAGTGACCACAGTGGGTCATCTGGTCAAACCTCCCTGCTAAAGCAGGGTCATCCCAGACACATGGCACAGCATTGTGTCCAGATGGTACTTGAGTATCTCCAGTGAGGGAGACTCCACAACTCTCCATTACTCTCTGGGTAGTCTGTTGCAGTGCACAGTCACTTGCACAGTAAATAAGTTGTTCTGTATACTCAGATGAAACTTCCTGTGCAGCAGTTTCTGCCAATTGCTTCTTGGCCTATTGCTTGGCACCAGCAAGAAGAGCCTGGATCCACCCTCTTAGCACCCTCCCTTCAGGTACTTAGACATTGATGAGGTCTCTTCTCAGTTGTCTCTTCTCGAGGCTGAACAGGCTCGGTTCCCTCAGCCTTTCCAGATGCTCCAGTCCCCTCATCATCTTTGTAGTTGGACCTGCTCCAGGAGCTCCATATCTCTCTTGTCCTGAGGAGTCCGGAATTGGACACAACACTCCAGGTGAAGCCTCACCAGGGCTGAGTAGAGGGGCAGGGTCAGCTCCCTCAACATGCACAGCATTTGCTCCTGGCAGTGCTTTTCCTAATGCACCCCAGGATATCACTAGTCTTCTTGGCCACAAGGCCTCACTGCTGGCTCATGGACACCTTGTTGTCCACCAGGACACCTTGTTGCCCTTGTTGACTTTCAGACAGTTCTTCTCTGCCCATCGCTCCAACCTGTTGAGGCCCTTCTGAAGGGCAGCACAGCCCTCTGGGGTATTGGCCACTCCTCTCAGTTTTGTGTCATCAGTGAACTTGCTGAGGAGGCATCTGTCCCTTCATCCAAGTCATGGGTGAACAAGTTAAACAATACTGGGCCCAGCATTGAACCTTGGGGGACACCACTAGTGACAGGCCTCCAGCTAGACCCTGTGCCTCTGGGATCTGCCATTCAGCCAGTTCTCAGTCCACCTCACTTTCCACTGATCCAGCCCACCGTTCCTGAATTTGCCTGTAAGGATGTTGTGAAAGACAGTGTTGAAAGCTGTGCTAAAGTTGAGGTATACAATACCCACTGCTCTCCCCTCATCCATCTAGGTAGAGAGTGCTTCATCACAGAAGACAATCAGGTTGGTCAAACATGACTTTAGTGAGCCCATGCTGACTACTCCTGATCACCTTCTTGTCCTCCATGTGGATAGAGATGTCCTCCAGAATGACTTGCTCAATCACCTTTGCAGGGATTCAGCTGAGGCTGACTGTCTGGTAGTTCCCTGGGTCCTCCTTGCCCCTTTGAAGACTGGGTTGACATTTGCTATCTTCAGTCATCAGACGTCTCTCCTGATCTCCATGACCTTTCAAAGATGATTGTGAGCACCTTGCTGTGGTGTCTGTCAACTCTTTCAGCCCTGGTGCATCCCGTCAGGGCCTGTGGACTTGTGGATGTCAGATTTTCTAGGTGGTCTCTAACCCAATCCTCCTTGACTAAGGGAAAGTCTTCCTTCCAGCATTCCTTTACCTGGTCTCCCAGGTCAGAGATTCCCGAGGGCTGGCCTTGTCAGTGAAGACTGATGCAAAGATCAATAATTCAGCCTTCTCTGCATCCTCTGTTACCAGGGTTCCCCCTCCATTTGGTAACGGGTCCACATTATCCTTAGTTTTCCTTTTGTTACTGGTGTATTTGAAGAAGCCCTTCTTGTTGTCTTTCACATCCTTGGTTATGTTTAATTCCAGATGGCCTGTCTTGTCTCATTTCTACTTGTTCTGAGAGTCTCTCTATATTTATTCCCAGTGGCCTGACCCTGCTTCTGTCTCCTGTGTATTTTCTGCTTATGCTTGAGCAGTGACAGGAGTTCTCTTGTAGTGCTTGGTACTTTTTGACCAGGCCAGCAACTTCTCTGCACACTGGCAGGTGTGGCCTTAGACAGGTGCTCTGGACAATATAATAAGTATTAAGAACTGGGAACAGCAGTAGACTTGCTCTCTTGTAGGAACTTTTTTATTCAAGTTGTGAATAATTTTCTTGATATATCTTGTTTGCCTGGCTGTTCATCTCCTGTTGGTAACTTTTGCAAATATATTTTTGCTGCCTGGCTTGATTTAGAAACATTTTTTTCAGGAATGTTGTGTCTTCAGTATTGCTGGTGATGGCTTATCTACACAGTGACAAGTGGTATTTGGCTTCACATTGGAAATTTATAACTTCTATGAATCAAGATGTTTGAAAGAAACCAGTGAGATGTTGCTGTTGATTTGCTCTATTTTTATTCTAGGGATCCCCTGAGAGGTTGTTCATCTTACCAGTTACCTCCCTTGCACCAGGGCCATGGTTTAGCACACTTATAGTTTTGTGTGCTGATGGGGCTGAGGGAAGGATTGGGAATAAAGTCTGAACTGCACAGTGAACAGAACCCAACTGTCTTACTTCTGTCAGTACTATTGCATAGTTCCCCTGGTGGCTGTGGCTGTGCTAGTGGAGTACTATCTTTACAGTCCAGTTTGGCTGATAGTTTTAAATCTGAATGAAGCCAATGGGCCAACACTTTAATGCTGTAGTGCAGGACATACGGGAGAGACTGGTGCCTCATTTTTCTCCTCTTTGCACAAGTAAAGTTTAGGAGCGCAAAGCAAAGGTGAACATCAGTGTCATGCATCTACCTTTGCTGTTCAGTTAGTTCATTTAGGAAGTCTTTGTGTTTCTTCGTAAATCTGTGTATTGTATCATCCAGGTGTGTAATTCAGCATGTTTACTAAATTATATCTAATTAGGACAAGTAGCTGTGTTTCCTTCCTCCCTCAAGATGAATAATGCAGATATAAAAATGCTGCAAAGTACAGTGCTTCTGTCATTTTGCCACGTAGACTGTCCTGTTTTTAGATTTTATGTGGCTCTTCAGCTAGAGGAAATAAATTGTATTGTTATTTTTGCAAATGAGAGACTTTTCTTCCCCCAGGGTTTTTCAACATGTGGGGCTTTGGAAGGGCAAACAAGCAGGCAAATCAAGCTGCCAAGAAGATGCAGGAGAATACACCTATATATTTCTTGGAGCTGGTTGGGGATTTGATTGGTCATTCATCAGCTGTGCAGGTAGGTCAGCTTTAGTAAGAACAAGAAAAAGTGAATGTTAGTAAGCAATGTAAATTTGACAGCGTAAATTTGAGAAAACAGCTGTAAAGCTGTAACTTTTGACTGTCTGGGTCTGGAGGCTGGGAGCACATTGTGTGGTATATTTAGTGCAGTATGAAAACAGTAATACATACTGACTTAATATTCTAGTGAGAGCTTGCTCAATGATGCCTGAGGATTGTGTGTGCATATATGCACATACATGCTACAGATAATCTGGTAGTGTATTTGGTTTCTTTTATAGACTGCAGACAGTACAACTGGGAACCACATGCATGACCCAGAGTTCATCTTAAGTTCACAATCTAAACAAGGGCTTATGCAAAACAAAACACATTCAGTAATGTCTTAGCCTTCTGCGCTGTGAGCATTAAGGAGGTCTTTTAATGTTAGATCAGTTACCATTCCATGCTTCTGTATGCCTAATATAGTATGTTTTTGTTTTAAATGGCATTTTCCCTCCACACCTTTCTGTGTTTGACAGTCTGTTGGAGTAAGAAATCACTTTCTTACAGTGGTCTTCTGTACACATTCTTGGAAGGAGCAGGGGGAAGGGCAGATAGAGAGGAGCGGTGTGATTCTGGAGTAGCTTTGCTCGCAAGTATTCATGAGACTGATGGGATTTCAGAACTGCTACTGCCAAAACCTGAAAGTTTTTCTTTAAAAGCTAAGGTGGTGAACCTTTCTGTTATCTTTCTTTTGAAAAATGGTTAAAAGAGGTCTTATTATTGACTTGGAAAGTTGCTATCTAAGAAAGAGGACATAGTGTGTAATTCAGTGAGGGACACAGCATAAGAAGGTGAGAGGTGTATGTTGGGTCTTGGCTGGGATGCTGCAGAGTCAAGGGGTAATGGAGATGATGGTGGATGTGATTTCCTGCAACCTTCTACATGTGGAAAATCATGGGGTTTTTTTTAAACTATGGGCAGACTGGAGCTGTTGAGGAAGAAAATGTTGAGTAGTGATGAAATGTGGTGGCCAAAATGAGGGTTTGGCAGACTATTTCTACTGGAACTCCATAACTAGTAAGTGGCTGTTCCCAGAACAGGTAAACCTTGTCCTGAATGCTTTCCCTGACCAGATCCCTTCAAGAAAATGAAGGGACAGGGCACTGTGAGCATGCCATAGGGACATTGCTGTTGGCTATTGTGTTGAACTGCAATTAGTGGTTAATTTTGGGCAGCCTTGTGAAGGTCTCAGAAGTCAGGAATGACCTCATGACTTGTCAGTTCCATTGGTCTTTCAAAATCCCTCCACTACTGCTGTACTTTTCTCCTGTGTTGTATTTCTTGCATGTTTGACTTCCTCTGTGTGATCAGGTATGTGCTGATGTCTGTCACAATTGTTGGCTCTTTGATCCTTCCAGGCCTGGTGCTAGTAGTCTATTGTGTTGTAGGGAAGGGGACAGTGTACCCAATGAACAGAACAGGCTTCTGTTCCTAAGAAACCAGATCATAGTTCAGACAAGTCATTCACTCTTCTGTTGCTGACTTGGAACAAATTGCTTCAAGATTCTGTCTTTTAGTGCTTTCTGTCCATAAGGTTTTAGTGCTATTTTGAAAAGATCTTGCAGTATGAAGTGCTGTTTAAAGAGGTTTTTTGTGTAGTGATTTCACGGTCTCTCAAATGTACAGTATACAGTGTCATTTTGCATACCTATCTATAAGCAAAGCCATTTCAAATATGTCTATTTGTTTAGTCCAGCTGTAAACTAAATAGTTAAGCAAGTTGACCATCTCATGCAAGCATCATGGTAATAATAATTGTTTCATTGCAGATGTTCCTGTACTTTGGTGAACTGGGATTGGCTACATGCTCTGCTGACCACCTCATTATTTTGTGGAAGGATGGTGAACGAGAATCTAGCCTCCGCAGTTTAACACTATTTCAAAAATTGGCACAAAATGGTGATTTGCAGCTCAAACTTTAAATTGCTTGAATACAGGCTACATATATGTAAAGTGGATGTGTGTTAAACCTGAGTGTAAGGTAATGTCTGAGCTACTGGGAATCTGACTACCAGTAACGCTTACACTTGATGTCATGTACCATATTGGAAATTTTATTAGTTGCCATTACTCTTCTGAAAGGAGAATTTTGCATGTTGGCTTACTCTGTCAGCAGAAATGGTGTTGTCTTGAAAGACTGAAGATAATGATGGCTCATTAAATAGTTTCTGATGTTGTTCCCACATGGGTGGATGTCAAGATTTGTGAAAATCCTCAGATGAATCATAACTAAAACAGTTAGGGGTATCCACGGTGCTATGTGCAGAAAGGAGGCATGGCAAAAAATCTGCAGCATAAACCCCAAAATACAGTGACAAAAAGACAAAAGCTGAAGAACCACAAACCAACCCCAAAGCAAACAAACCAACAAAAAAAAGCAAAGTTAACCCCAGAACTGATAAAAAGAAAGGGCGAGGGAGAATGAGATAATGAGTGATAAGTTACCATTTGAACAAGAAGAGCTAGGGAAAGGGAGAATTTGGGAACTTAGTGGGTGCTACTGTCCTCAGGTCTACTCAGAAGATCCAGTACTTAATGGTTTAGGACTAAGTCTTGTGCGGCTTTTGAATGCCATCTCTTCCCTTTGAATCTATAAGAATTGGTTTCAGTACAAGAGACCACAAGGGTGTAACTTGGTACTTAAGATACAGTGTTTGCAGTAAGTGCAATTAAAACAAAGGGCTAAGCAGATCCTGGCAAGAGGAGAAGCAAAAGGAGGAAGCTCCTAGTTTCCTAGAAGAAACCAAGAAGCCTTTTAGACTTGCCCTCCTCCAACGGCTGTGGGCACTTGCCTTCCTCCTACTACCCAGAAGCCAAGCTTTGCCTCTTGAGTCTGACCATAATCTCTAGAAGGTAGAGCAGAGGGACAATAAGATTTTGAGCTGTATTTTTTTCCTACCTTAGTCAACTAATTACCTATAGGTAATCTTATTTTGAGTAGAGAATTCAAAATAACTTATTTCAAAACCACAAAACAGGTGGGGAAATTGTTAAACTGCTGCCTTCTTTCAATTCAGGAAGGTTAAATCAGTGTTAAAACTTAAACTGCACGTTCTTTGCTCATTGGCTCTTCTTTTGACCAGCCTAGGAAAAGCATTTGGATTACACCTGAGGATAACATACTTCTGGTTTTATGGTATTAAACTGGAGAGAGAAAGGCATGTTAAGTCTGCATCGTTTCACCTGATCTTCATTGCATTTTTGGCTTCCCCAGCACAAGCTGGGGAGATGCAATTTTATTTTGGCTCTTTGCCTTGTTTCAGCTGAGAACTGTTCAGTTGTTTATAAAGTGTGTGTTTACACATTGTTACTAAACCTATAAAGTGAAAGCTTATAAAAATTAGATTATTTGGAGAGAATACTGCTATCATCAGTTATAGCTAGAGACAAGAAAGCTCATATTTTTATTCTCTCTTATACCATGAGAACAACTATTTTCTTTTTATGTGACTGCTTTTAAGTGAATACCTGGTAGGAAAACAGACCTATTTAACTAAACAGTTCTAGTCACAAAACTCACTGTGCAATTTACAGGGATGTAATTCATCCTTAAATAGTCCTACATGCATGTATAAATATTTATATCTATCAAAAGTGCCATTGTTCTCAGATACACTCCATTGTTTTACAAATGAACTTTGAGCATAACAGTGAACATAGTAACAGTATACTGTCCCATTCCTCTGTTAAATGAGAGTTTGTCACTTGCTGTTGGGAGGTGCAATGAGCACAATTACGGTGACCAGATGAGAATTTTTACTTCTTACTTATGTTGTTTTAAACTTTTTTCCACCTTGCGATAACACAGAATTCTGTATGTTCACACCATCAAAGTAAATATCAGACCTACTCTTAATACTTTTACAACTCTGAGGTGACTGTCTTACACATCTGTGCACTGACAATAGCATGAAACAAGCAGCTGTTAGTCACTGGACTAGTCTAGGAGATCTGACACAACCGGCAGATGATGATTAGTCTGTGCTGATTTATTTTGCTCCTAAAGAGGACCTATCTCCACAGAGATTGCTCTTTTTTTACTTAGTCTGACTGTGGGAAGAAACACGTGACCTTGCAACAAATGTATTGATTCCACATAAACACCTTGGCCTCAGTTCTTTTTCACAAGTTGAACTTTATTTTTTAGATTCCTTCCACTGTTCACATTTTTTTTCTTGTGACAGAAGTGTGACAAAAATTATGAATTGAAATGTTTTACATGGATGTGGTCTTACAGTGTTGCTCTATTTAACAAATTAAGCTTTGAATCTTAGGAAATTCTTTTCTCTAATGCAAGCTGCAGTGAGCATTCAGTTATCAGAATAGTTAAGGTACAACCACCGAGAGCACTAGTTCTAAATAAAGAAATGGAAAAAGCAAACAGTTTACAGTATTAGAAAACAGACGTTCAACTAATCTGAATAAAAATCCATTGAAGAATGTTGCCATAGATAATAGGAAAGAATGAAGAAACACGCTTCACCAGAAACACAGTTCTTCAAGTATACACAACGCAGCATTTTAATACACAGCAACCTGCCTTAGCTATGACAAAAGTAAGGATCTGTTACAATTCTAACAAAAATATAGCTTATATACATTTCTCTGCACATACATTTTATGAATGTTTCCTTTTGTTTCAGAACTTGGTACAAAACATACAAAAAAGGTTGGCACATTTTGTAAGCTACCTGCAGTAAACAGCATTGTCACTATGTTACCACAGGAGTCTCAATGCTGTTTGCCTTTTTTTTTTTTCTTTATCCAGTTTGATTCTTAATACAGCGTAGGGGGAGTGGACTGCTTCTTCAACTGCAGCCACAGCTTTGACAGTCTTGCCTGAAGCCTGGAGTGCACAGTGTTAAAAATCAGCAGTTCTGCTCGTATTTATTAACTGAATAATCCGAGAATAATCTAAAATTTGAACTCATGTTCTGCCTGTGATTAAAATGAGATGTACAAAAATATGCATTTGTGCTTTGAAAGCCTTAGCATAAATTTAATATCTTAAAACTAATGAAAAACTATGTTTGATTTCTAACTTATTTACATATTTTGAAGTACTTTTTACATCACAAAACAAAACATCATTTTATTAGGAGGATAAAGCAGTAAAAATTGTAATGCTGTTATAAATTATAACCTGGAAATTTTTTTAAAAAGCAACAGGTTCATCCTAGAAGTAAGTAGCACAATATTGAACATATCATAAAATTCAGATCAGTTTAATAAAAGTGATGACCATGCATACAAACTCCACTTTATAAAAAAAGGATGGTGATCAAGTGCCACAATAGTTTTCATGTAAAATGTGATGAAATCTTGCATGATAATGTCTGTAAGATGGCAGAGAACCATGGGGACGGCACCAGCTATACAGAACATGCTTATTTTCCTTCATTATATGATCAGTTTTAGGGGACGTTGACTCCTACCAAGATTTTATATGGAAAAGAAAGAACAGGTGGTGCTCTGAGAGAGAATCTCTGTAATAATAAGAAGGTTGATTTAAAAGGTGCCAGCTTTGGGTTTTTTACTATATCCGTTTATTGAGGTTTTATTGTTCTACTGTGCATGTTCTTTTTAGAAGTATGGTTCAGAGAGCTGAAGAACATTGATAGAATTGGAACAAATTTATATGAGATAAGTGGGAAATTTTTATGCTTATTTGTCAGGCTGTTCTCACTCTCCTGGTGACTACATTGCCCCTCTGTCTGAGAAATAGTTGTGTGAAGTGTTAGTGAATACAGTTGTATCAACTACAAGATTCAACAAGTGCATATTCAGTATTAGAAATTAGTTTCAGAAGTACATTTGCTGCCACAAAATATTATTTCCAAAGAGCACTTAGTCATCTGTGGATTATATAGCCTCATTGAAAAACATTTTTCTGTAGAATTCAGAGAAGCTTAAAAATTATACGTGAAATATTTCCTTCTTGTTACGTAGTCTTAATCCACTGGAAAGGTAATATCATCCCCTTTGTAGCCAAGAGTCCGCAAGTGATTCACAGTGAAACTGGTAGAGCAAGAGGTCTTTTTTTTGATTTTGTGTCAGTTGTTGTTTTCTGATGGAAGCCTCAGACTCTTGCACTTTAAATCATCCAGCGTTTTCCAGTGTTTATAGTTATTAGCCAAGTGTTGCATCAAAACAGGGAGATGTGCAAATGCTGAAAGAACAGGAGAAACAGTTGTACTATGTATACAGAATGGGCAGAAGAACAGCCTGACCTCGTCTGAAATTGGCATTCTCCTACTTCTTTTGTTCCTTCAGCTCCTTAAACTAATACTAAAAGGGGAAAGATTTTTTTAGTGTGTTTCTCTTTCAAGAAAATCCCTTTCTTAATGCAGGATGACTTTATTAAATTATGCTAACACGCAACCACATTGGTCTTAGTTTCTGCTGCTCAGAAGAAATACATTGCTAAAGGAAAAAAAAGTAGATGAGAAAAAGCTTATTTTTAAGCCATTACTCTTCCTCTACATAGATTGCCTGGTAAGTGCTCAACTTTATAAAGCATGTGTTTTGTGCAGTGAAACAGGCTTCAGCAGTATCACTGCACAATATCCTGTGCTGTACTGCTTATGTACAGGTACCGACCCTCAAAAAAGTGGACTCAAGGCCAGTTTGAGATGAGTCATTTTAGTCTGTAGGAATATCTGCTTCAGAGCAAGGAAGAAGAAGTAAGCAGAAGTACTTACCATCCCATGCATCAAACATATCTGTTATAAAATAATCAATGAAGGAAATCTGAGACTTGGGGATGCTGCAGGTGTTTCTGTCAAATACTGGCATTACAACAGGCAGACCCTGTCTCTTCTCTTCATCAGTCTAAGAAGACAAAACTCCAGTTAGCCACTAAAGCTTTGCTGACTTCCATGCTGGAGTAGCAAAGCTCAGGGGATTAGATGAATTGCAGTAGGAGATTTGACACAAACCTTAGAACCCCTGAGGTGAACTGCCTCAGTTTCATGTGTGTTATTTCATCTGGAACAGGGACTGAAATCAACATCCCTTCCCTTTCACAAGTACTCTTATTTTTGTAGTTCTGTGATTGCACTTAGCTCCAGCAAGACAGAATGCTCTAATCAGGTGATTAGGGTACACCAGCTAAAAAATGGTTGCGGAGTCCTTTAGCAGAGGACTGGTCTCTCCATTTTTCCACATCTCTACTGGCTGTTTCAAAACCATTTGTCTTTTAAGTAAGAAGAGGCTGTTGCTGAGGCTACTTTCTCTGCTGGTATCAAGTTATAAGATGAATGGAAGTAAAGGTATGCTCTTTAACTCTGTGTCCGCAACTGAAACAGGGCTGGTTTTGTTGCTCTTAGTATGGTGGAGGATCAAATCACCTCAGCTGTTTCTTAGAACTAAATTACAAACCAAAAAGAAGTCCCATTTTAAGCTGTATGGGCAGCACCTATGCTGGAATTAGCAGCAGAGCAGTCTTCAAAATTAGCAGATGAGGTGAATGAACAGCAGAACAGTTCTGAGCACCTCACATTGCTGCATGTAGGCTAGTGCCTAAGCTGGGCAATTTAAAGCTAGCTTATAACACCTTGACTGCTAGGGAGATGCAGCCTAAGTGATCCTTGATCTTACTTAGGACATAACAGAATTTATTCACTGTGATTAAAATGAAATTCAGACATGTCTTTTAGTAATAACTATCAAATGTGTGGTCTGAATTTGGATGGTAGGCATGCCCACTTTTCTGTCTTTCCACTGTCTTTTCATAGTCTTTCCATAGCTGCTGATTTCTGTACCATTAGTGGCAAAAAAAAGCTAAGATTTTTATCAGTTGTTCAAATAAAGAACTAAAAGAGTATTTCACTTTTAGGAAGCTGGTACATTTCTGTCAGAAAAAAATGAATGTGAAGAAGTGAACTTGAGCTTTCAGTTCTGTCTGGAGAGATCCCATGCCATAAGTATTTACACTGGCCATGTGCCTCTACTACTCATCTGCCTGCACTGACAATAGTTTGGGTCCTACCTTAGAAGAGAAAGGGCCATCCTAGTGGTTCAGCTGAGGGCTGCATCAGACATGCTTCTTCATGCTTCTTCATTGGGACTAGAAACTAGAATGGTGACGGTCTTGAATTTCAGCCAATTAAATTGACTAAGACTAATCAAATCATTTTGTTTTGGCCAGATGAAGAAAGTTGAAAATGTAAAACTTCCTTTTCACCATTCTGTACAATGAGCTTCATGGTGAGCAAACTAGCTAACTGCCTGGCGTGAATTCTTCTGCATGAAACTGATGGGCCAGTTCTGGCTGGGAATGAAAAAAAACACGTCTGGACTCTGGTCACACCAAGTAGACCCTGTGTGGAACAGCAGACCAGCAGCTGATGTGCATTTTCTTACATAATATAATGGTCAAATCATAAAAGTATACGTACCTGTGCGAAATACTCCTCTGAAATCCTCCCTGCCCATTCAATACATAGCTCTAGAGGGCGACATGGATTTGCTACATCTGCACATTTAATCATCATGCGCTTGATCAGTGTCTGGTTGTCTGGAAAATTCTTTATATTGGCTGTACATTCAGTGTCGCTGCCTTCACTCTGTAAAGCAGAGATGATTACAGTGACCAGGGGCCACATCCCCTGCTGGCAGGAGTGAGGGTGTTGTTATCAGCTCTACTGCACTTGGGGAAGTAAGCAGGCACCCAGTCTGCCGCCTTCTGATGTCATACAGAGCACCAGGAATTTGGAGAAGAAAGTGATGTCTGAGAACTACAGCCTTACTAAGTAACTAATTGTAACCCCCGTACATATTACAGTTGTGAAGATTCTGAGAATTAATAGCTAAGTTTTTAAAATAAATAAAATAAAGAGCTATAGGCTCTTTATCAGGTAGGAGGTCATTTTCTCTGCATCCCAGACTTGTCCTCTTGGAAGAGGACCATGATATAGCAGATGCATCCACCAACTGCTAGCTCATAAATGATCCTCAGTGCTGAGTGTTTAAATCTGAGGGTGACGATTTTAGGGGACTGCTTCACTTAGGGCAGTTTCTGGAGTTAGATTTTCATTCCTAAATGAGAAAACTGAGGCAGGCACAGGGAGCTGAACTGACTTGCACAACTGACATTACTTTTATATACAGAAAAGCAGAGCTCTGACATTCAGTTCCAGAACATTTACACATAAAACTGCCTTCTTTATGCCAGACTTTGAACCCTCAGCCTGGAATCATCTCTGGTTTTAGTTATGAGCAAGGGTGCAGTCTTAGGTAATCTACGAGATTAACAGTAAGAAAACACAGGGGCAGCAGACTGACTGCAGAAAGTCTCTACTTGGTAGACAGTAAAATATCAAACTGCTTACTGACTGCTCTGGAGGGCATGTGGAGGTGACAAGGTAGTTGTTATAAGTCCACTGTGGCATCATATTCTGAGTCTTAAATAGTTCAGAAGGGCACAGGTATGTTATGCTCCTTGTGGAGTAATAAAAAGCCTACACCTCAGCTCATCATGGCATTAACACTGTTCTCAAAATATTTGTGTGATTATGTTCTCCCTTCACTGCTAAATTCAACTCCTGAGTAAAAAACTGAACATAAGTACTTTCTACCACAGCAACTAAATTAATGTCGCTGTGGTTTATGGAGAGATATTTTGCAGTGACTTTTGCCAGTTCAGGCACTAATCTTCTAACTTTATGTTTAGCAGTTAATTCTTTTTCAGCATGGATAGCCCAGCAAAGACCTGCCAAATTAACCCTCCACCTTAACTGCTGTTCAAGACAAAAATAGAAAGAGCCACTGTTAACAGTAAAGAACAACTTAATACTGGGGGAAAACAACCAGTCTGTGGTACAAGTGGTTCTGTGCTGCACTTTTATTGTGAGGTAAGTTCAGCAGCATTTGTGATTTCCAGCTCAAACTGTTGGGAGAGTGGAGCTCAGCAGTTCCTAGAAGTAGTTCAGTTCAACTGACATAATGCTGTCTCTAAAGTCATAAACCCTACCAGTCCTGACTGATTTCTGTACCCTTGACATCCTGCAGTGCAAAAAGTCCAGTTACAGATAACTACCAGAAGCGACTTCTATTTATTTTTAGTATCGTTGACTTTCAATTTTGTCTGTTTTTTTTTCAGTATTTCCAACAAAGCACTATTTTCACTAAGGTGGGCTAAGGTAGTCTTTCCTCAGGTAACACTGCTCTGGAGAACCCTGTCAGGCCCTGAATGCTCAGCCTTGAAAGGCAACAAAAGAAGGTAAGAGGGGCATGGGAAACTCAGAGGCAGTTTATGAAACATACCCTGGCTGGAGCATTAGGGTGTGTAACTGATAGGAATAAAGGCCTGGCCATCTCTTGGTACAGTCAGGAGTGGAGAGGTCTCAGGAAGGTATTCTTCAGGCCTCGAAGGCTCTAGATTACACAGACCCAAAACCATCAAGGTAGGTTCCTCAGTTACATCCCTAGGCTCAGGCAAATCCCACTGTTTGGAGACAGGACCATAGGCACAAGTGCCTACCTGGCTTCATGCACAGAATTTTCCATGTAAAACAACACCCACCTGCATATTTTCTGAATACAAGATAGCTTTGAAGACAAAGCTTATAAATGAAATGTTTAAATGAGCTAAGGACAGAGCCAGACATAGAAAACAAGAAAATGAAAGTATTCGTTTAAACTTTGATGTGTGAGGTCACAAATCCGGTTGTGTCATTTTGGGCATTACCAAAATGCAAATTAATCAAGGTGAATGAAAATGATACTTTAAGTTGTCTTGGAAGAACCTAACTGAAATGCCTGATGAAGTCCCCCAAGCACTTACGTGTGGGCTGGTCTCCTCAGGTGCCATAGGCTTGTTGATACTGTTCACAAATTTGTTCACATGCTCAAAGTGCTTCGTCATCTCTGTTGCCAAAACCATATCGATAATGGCCTGGCGCAGTGTCCGATAGCGATTTCTAGGAAAGAAAAAGAGTTCCTGCTCACAAGCCTGCCAGACAGAGCTCTGTCCTTTCCTCATACCTGCCTAGGCAGTGCTGCAAAATGCTGCTCAAGGGCTCACCATGTGAGCTGGCACCTTCAGAGACAGGAACAGTTTAGGGATAGAGGAATGGACTAGATCGTTCCTCTCTGGGTTCCTCCAGCTCTGTTATTTTTGCCTGATGAAAATCAATCCCCTGAGGTTAGTAAAAATTTACAGCTCAGTTTCATAATGCTGTAACACTAAGACAAGTTGTCCAGGAATGGCACCAACACATCCATGTGACTGTATGCTAGCTTGGAACTCAAAGCTCAGGTTTTTCAAAAACAATGCTGTTTGGGGTCAGGCTGTTTCCCTTTCAGATCTGTTTCCCTCTCACCTTGCCCCTGCAAAAGCCAGGCTCACGCGATGGAATTCCCAGGCTATAGCATGCCACAGGGAGCCTCCAGATCTCCCAGAACTTCATGTTGGTCTGCTACTACCCATTCTGCCCCATGTGAATGCAGTAGTGCTTGGAAGCATAGGACCTTGTGCAGACACAGCATGCAGCATCTAGCTGCTGGGGTGGAAAAATATACCACAGAAAAGTAATTTCTAGGCTTCTGCAACCAAAAGGCCGTGGGCCAAAATGCAGTCTTGAGGTTGTCAACTGGACCATGTTAATGTAATCCATAAAAGATTATTGAACATCTCTATAAGATTCCAAAAATTACAAATTGGAAGGGGCGGTGAAGGGGAAAATGAAAGCTTTTTTTAAAAATCATGTCTACATGGGATTCTGGAAGAGGTTAAATATTAATATCTGTATTTAAACTGTATATTCTTGTTTAGAATGTAGGCTCTCAATCTGCCCCAAACTAAAACTGCCAAACAAGCAATCCACACACAGGCACTCCTCTTCGCCAGAAGACGCACCTATCAATATTCTTGAAAATGTTGCATTTGCTGTCTTTAGTTGTAAGCTGAAACGCCAGTGCTGTGTGATGACTCTCTAATACAGCTGTATCATTGTAAAGGACAGCTAATTCACTGCCTGCATTGCACAGGAAAGAGTTGGTCCGTCCAGGGTGGTCTACATCATGAATGGTGGCAGCTATTAATGCAGCTACCTCATCTAAATGGTCCAGACTTCCCTACAGGAAGAGAGAAAAATTATGATGTGGCACAAAAATTACGGTAAATATTTTCTGATCATTTCTAGGTACCCTTGATTATGCAAACATAAGCTTCAGTGTAAGGATCCTACCTCCTTGCAATCATTTTCCACTCAGTCTGCCCACAGATTAACTACTACAAAACTCTCACTCCCACCCCTACCCATATACTCTTTTCTTTAAAGAAGCTTTTTACTATGCTGTCACCTAAGCAATACCTTGGCATAAAATTCTCTAATGGATAGATCATCTGGATCTGTCACACACATCTGTGTGTGCTTGCCTAAATGCATCTGTACTGTCTCTGCCTCTACACACCTTTTATCTTAGAATACAGTGGGACAGACTGTTTCAGTTGGAAGTGACCTACAACGATCATTAGCCCAACTGCCTGACCACTTTGGGGCTGACCAAAAGTTAAAGCATGTTGTTGCCCAAATGCCCTTAAACACTAACAGGATCAGGGCATCAACCACCTTTCTATGAAGCCTGTGACCACTCAGTAAAGAAATGCTTACTAATGTCCAATCTGAACCTCCCCTGGCACAGCTTTGAACCATTCCCACTCATCCTATCATTGGGTACCAGGGAGAATAGCTCACACTTCCCTCTCCAAAGCTTTTGCAAAACTTTATTAAGAGCTGTTACTAACCAAGACAGAGAAAAGAGCCAGGTTCCCTCCCCACCCTCATTATTGCTACTTAAAAAAATTAATTTGTATAAACAGACTTCAGAGAAACTGTATGGGTTTGCTGGCTTCACAGGAAGACTTCAAGGGCAGAGAGAGTTTATGAAGCCAGGACAATTATTTAAACATGTGACTTTTGGATGACACACATAAAATGGTAAACACACTGAAACCCTAGCCCAGAGGACTCCTAGGTGAGGGTTCTACCTTAACTCTCTCCTTGCCAAGGAAGAAGGCGGTAGCATGCAGGACATCTGCTGCGTGTGTGGAGTTGTGGTAGGAGTTGGAGGAATGGTAGTTGGCTTCAATGACCTGCAGCCATGCCCGCAGCGTTACTTCTGAGCAGTTTAAAAACTCAGAGACCCCAAACCGGGCAAAAACTTTTAAGCCCAAATACACTAATGGCCTGAAAAACAATAGAAGAAAAAAGCACTGTTGTAAAATAGGAACTTGTGTTGTTCTAAAAGCAATATATTTGATGAAGAAAACAACAAGACCTTAAAAAGGGTGGGGAATGTTAAACATTTTTAAATTGCACATCTATAGCCTCTCAAAAGCCTGGCCAAGGTTACAAATTATTGTATCTACCATCCTTTTAGACATTATTTTAATATGTTTTGTGGAAATGGTGCAGTTCCATTAGAGTTTGAACAATTCCTGTGGCTTCAGAAAAAACATCTTAAAAGCCCAAGTCTTTTGTGGTTTTTAGTATCTGTCAATCAAAAAAAAAACACATTTATTTTTTTCCTGAGGAGGAAAAGCAGTCTTTGAACACGACATGGAGACATCCCAAAGACTAAGAAGCCATAAGACAAAAAAAGGTCAAATATCAAATGTAAACTGCTGTGTGTGTATATGTGTGTGTGTGTGTGTAATGATGGGCAGTCCATGTGTGAAACAGTAAATATAAAACCTCTAATCTTTTTTGGTTCTTAAATCCAGATCCACTCTGGGTTATCATTTATACTGCATTGCCTGTGAGAGTCCATCAGTCATTTTTCTCACTCATACAAGATGATCTGCAGAGCCTCTGAGCTGAGAAAGGCATAATCAAAACCCAGCATCTGCAGATTAAACCCAGGCACATTCCTAAAATGGCCATTTTCTGCAAAGAGAGTACAGAAGACTGGATAGTCTCTGATTCTTTGTGTCTTTGAATGAAAACCACTTTTCTCTGTGGGTGACATGATTATTTTTGCAGTCTGCATGACCTCAAAACTACTGATGTCTCTTGATCGTATCACTGGTTTGTCCTCCATTCCATTTTTTTATCCCTATAATCAAAAGCCACAGTTGCCTCAGACCTTCCCAAATCATAGAATAATTTAAGTGAGGGAGGGAAGAGGCTTGCTTTTTCCAGCCTGACCATTTTTACATGAGCAGGAAAAAGAGGCGTCTGCAGGAAATCTAGCATGTAGCAACATCAGACTGTGCCAAACAGTGTCACCTGGATAGAGTGGACGTAAGTCACGCAAAACAGCTGTCACAGATTTACTATGTCTTGCTTCAGTTTTTCCAGAGCAAAGCGCTTTCTACTACAGCTCATCAACAGCCTTTCTCTGGGCACCTAGGGCAGGGAGTCCAGTACCTTTTATTTGTAACAGCCTCCAACTCAAAAATATTGAAGTCCCAGGTTTCCTCATTATCTAGGAGCTGTGCAATACAGGGTGGAACATCATTGATGGTGTTTGGCACTGGAAGGTGACTGTGGCTCAGGTTCACATCTGTTGAAATGGAATTTGGGAATCAACACATTTCTGGATTATTCCCCCTACACTACTGCAACCCCCTGCAGAATTCCATTTCGAAAACAACTCTTTTTCAAGAAAAACAACCTTTTCCTTACATGAAAAAGTCTGTAAATGCCTATAAATATAAACAGTTTATTACGTTTGAACATTAACCAAAAAGATCAGTGAACATTTCTTTGACAATTTTTTTGCTAACATCTCAAAATGCCTTATTTTAATTATTTGAACCTGCTTCAACTCCAAAATGGAGTTGTTCTGCACTTGTTCTGCAGTCATTTAGCCAACCATTTCCAAAGGCATATATGCCACTGCAAATAAGCCCGAAGCTCTATGTCAGCAGCGTTGACAAAGGAAGTCACACATGCAAAGGAAGTTTAAAACGGTGGCTTACTCTTAGAAAACACATACTCATTTCCTGACAGTCTTCTCAAGCCATCCTGGAAAAAAAACCACAAGTTTATCATAAGTTTTAGGCAGAGTGACCATGCATCACTAGTTGCAAAAACACTACATGCATTTTCTCTTTAGCTACTATTCCTGGGTACTAAAACCACTGCTCTTACTGTAGCATTATAAGCACCATCCTTGTTTGAAGATTTTTCAAAACAGACGTGAAAGGATCCCAAGAAGACTGGTATGAGATCCCCAGAAAGGATGTTATTAACTATACAGTATATTGCCCTCTTTGACCCTTTCTTTGGCACCTGCAGGATTTCATCATTCAAATTAGCCACTATAATTTATTTTTCATTTTCTTTATATTATTTTGGCAGGAATTAGCTTAGTGTACATTAAAAAATGAGTAAATCCTTGATGAAATATAGACAGTCTGTCTGTTGCTGCTGTTACAGGACCAAAGTGAGAACCTGATTAAAGTAACCTCACTCCTACACTGGACCAGCTGTAGAGCAATCCCTCTAATCCCATCTAAGCTTCTAGAGTTTCTAAAAGGTATCTCCTTCAGTATCTCCTGAGACAAATCAGACTGGATGATACAGTTTCTAGTGGCAACCGTGTTCACTTATATATGAGGATGAATGCACCCAGTGGACTGAGTTGTGGGCATATCTTACTACATCTTAGTGCCTACTGCTGATAAAGAGGTCGAAATCCTAAAGTGAAATGGTGATGAATCCCCTTCCCATTGCTTGGGACATTTTAGCACAGCAGAGCGCTGAAGGGTGGTATAGGACACTTACAGTAGTAACTTCATCTTTAGTAATTTTACTCACAGTCATCAGACCTCCAACAAGATCACTTGTGTGAGGATCTTCATCTTTGGTACCTAGCTGAGGGGAGTAAAGCTCTGTTGTCCGCAGGATTTCCAGAACTCTGTCCAAGGCCTCTGCTACTGTGATGGGGCTGTTTTCCTGGGCAGCATTAATTATGTTAATAACCTGAAAGCAGATTAAGGAGGCAGGCAAAGAAAAGTGAATGGCATTTTTTTCTTTTCTTATTACAAACTCTTTATTCTTGACTTGATTATGCTAATTCTCATTTAGCAAATGGAGTGCAAATTCTCCCAACCCTTGAAGTACAACTCTGAAAATGTAAATTTGTGCTCAGATTTCCTGGTATCCATCTACTATTTTTAACTGTCAGACTCCTGGGAAGTGAAAGCAGAAGGGTGTGAAATATCTGAAATAGTTGCAAGTGGGTGGACCAAAAACTAGCAATGTCCCAGTCCTTCAGCGTATCCAGTTCTGCTCTGAAGCAATCATTCAATCCCTAGAGGAAAACCCAAACAAACAAGTAAATTCCTGGATGTGATTCAGATATCCTGACATAGGATGTAAAGCCTTAGTTTTCTCCATGAAAAATAAAGGGCAGAGAGCAGAAAGAGCTTGGTTGTAGAAGAAGAGGATGGCTGTTTGAACCCCCACCTTGTGCCTCAGCCACAATCTGGGAATGCAGCAATGACAGCAGCAGCAAAGGCTGTTCCTGGCTCTGCCAGGACTGAGCAGAAGAAAGCCCCAGTGCTGTCTTCTCCAGCAATCAGGGGCTGTTGCAAGGGCACTACAGGCCTCCCTGCCGGTATGACTGAGGATAAGGAAAAGTTCTTACAGTAACAGTAGTACTGTGAAGTAAGTGCTTGATGAGAGCAAGAACAGATGGGGAGAGAGTTAAAAATGAGGGTGGGAGATACCTGGTGTGTGTTACAAGTGACTATGCAGCTGGTTTGCAACAGAGTTTTGTGTAACACAGTGAACAAAAGACTGCAGGAAAGTGGGGGAAACAGAACATGGTGCAGGTGCTCCCTCCTCTATGTGCTATCTTATAAATATCAATAGCAAGAGCAAAGGTGAGACTGGAAGCACATCCTCCTACACATACACAGCCCAACAGAACAGTGTCCCCTTCCTGCTAGCAGCAGTGCATCTAACAAGGGCACACTTTCCCCCTTTTTCATATTCTTTCTTATGACTAGGATTTGGAATGCAATGATGAGATGTAGAAAGTAGTATGGATAAAAAAAAGTTATTTATATTATACTGTTAAATACAAAGTGCAGGAAACCTCTGGTTGTCTGTTCACCAACTACATACTTCCCTATGAGAGCAACTCCAGACTCTTGAGATTGTGGAAAAGTCAGTGCTCAGGACTCACCTTTGTGATAGGAGCTTCTATGGTCATTGAGTGAATCCTTGCCATTGAAGAGTATCGTCGGGTCTGTAAACTTGGAGCTGCTGTTCAAGAGAGCCACAGACTATAAATCAGATGACAGCATTTAAAGAGCAGCAGGCTGAGGAACAGCACAACATAATCCAGCCTCATGTTCCACTTCTATATTTCCTCCTGCAGGTTCTTACTTTACTGTTTCATTTCTTGCTCTGTTGTTGACCTCCTTGGCAGCACCCCTTACTTTTACTATCAGATATTCCATGCGTCCTTCACTTTGTAATGAAGCTGTACCTATTATGTTTCGTGCCCAGTACCTGCCAGTTGCTCTTTGATTGCAGTGAGTCTTTGTCAGACATGGCTCCTCCTGTGAGTATGTGTGTAAGTCCCTCATCTTGGTGATACAACTGGTCTAATGAAACCTGTTCCTGCTTCCCACAAGCTGTCCTTCCCGCATTACATAGAGAGGCAGAAAATAATCGCTGCCACCACCGTCCCAGCCCCAGCAACCAGTCACAAATGGGATCAGGAGTAGAAATACTGCTCTCAAGTAGCCAGCAGCAATAAATCCCTTCATATTCAACACTAATAAAACAAAAATACTGGTTCAAGAGCACAAGGTGAAGCTTTCTGAGGGAGGTGGCACTAACGCTTCATCACACACTTTTAGAAGGCTTCTCCTATCCCTTGGCACAGCCACTCCTCTCTATGAAGGCACTCTGCACTGCCATGCATCATATAGCGATGCTGGTACTCGTGGCTGAGGCACTGTTTTGCAAATTAGAAGAAAGAAATTTTGCAGCAGTTATAAAAAGATGGAGTAATTTCTCTTTAATCAGCTATGAATCTGGTTCATCTTCTGCAGTTTTATTTCCTAGGCCAAGTCTGTTCTTTCTTTATTTGTAAATATATATATATTTATAATATTATATATCAATGTATAATAATTCTTGACAGTTTACTTTCTTACCATCACTACTTTGAGATGTTATTGACTTAACATCAACTGAGTCTTTCCTTCTGTTCTTGCATTTGTAGGAATTGGATTCTGTAAATACAAAACAAAAGCTTTAAAAATGCATCAAGTAAAACATCTACAAAGCTTCTTCCATCTAAAGTTATGAAAATTTAATTACATGATCTTAACAATACGACATAAGCGGGGGAAATACTGTAATCTCTGCACATCAGAACAAGGAACTCAGTGTCTATCAATTTAAAGCAACATGTCCGAAGTCACCTGGAAAGGTGTTTCACAAGGAAGTCAAGATGCCTTATGGAATGGGAGACTTGCTTCACCTAAGTTTAGCTTCCTAAAAGCAGCAGTCTTGCAGGCTGTTGATGTCTAGGGTGGTTATCAGAGAACCTGCTTCAGGACAGATGTCTCACGCAGGTGCATTGAACCCCTCCTGCAAGGCCCTTTTGCTTCCCATCAGCCACTGAACAAGACTGAGTTTAACAGCCTAAAACTTTAGCCAAGTGAGGAAAGTCCCATCTCGGTCTACACTGTTCGAGCCCAAGCATAATTCAGACTCAGACAGCTTTTGCTTTTATTTGCAGTAATTTTTTGTACGCTGTGTTAAAGAAAAATCTAGCATGCTGAGAATGATTATAAACAAGCAGTTTGGTTGCTGTGAAAATTAACCATGCAAAAAGCTGTTATTCTTGAAACTAATGTTTGCTAAAGCAAGAGAAATTATCACATCCAGCCAAATTCAAAAGCTGGATGAAATACCAGGAAAGAGCCTAAAAAAAAAAAAAAAGTGGTAAAATTTAATTTTCCTCCAAAACATTACAATCTTCAGTTCTCCCTACTGTTGAAAAACAACAACCATGCATCTATTCACCTCTTTGCAAGAGTGTCTGAAATGCCACTCAAGGATCAGAGACCCTAGTAAGCTTTTAAAAGCAGATAAAACCATCTGAAGAATCAGAAATATCATGACATTGATATTCTTAACATAAAGACCATGTCACAAGACAGGATGTAGGCAGCCTGTCTTTAGCAAAATAAAATGTTAATATATGATTCTCCAGAATTAAAAGTCTGTCCATCTTAAAAATTACTGAAATACAGTTTCTGTCTTAATTCTCTTTTTCTACTACAGATTTATAAGATTGCTTAGGTCTTCTTATTTTGCTGTAGTCCAAACTGGAGAAACTGAAAGCATTTTCCTCTGTTGACATCTAAGAGCAGGGCATAACTAATGCATGTTAAATAATTTTATTTATTTATTTCATAGTACTCCTCTTAGAAACCCCATTCCTGCATTAACATTTGGATTAGTTTATCATAAGGCACTAGAGTGGGAGCAAGGATTTACACATAAAGATAGCTGTGAGTGGCTATAGTTGACAACTCTCCTTGTGTTAAATGCCAACTAGCAAGTCAGAAATTTTGCTAGTGCCACCCCAAGAGTGACAGGCACCTAAAAGCTACTCTCTGCCATTCTACAATTTCATCTGTAAATAATTCAATGCCTAAATAAAAAATTTTTCTTTACCTAGTGAGCAGAATATCTCATCATCCAGATTTGGTACAAATCACACCATCACAAACAGCACAATATCATGGATTACTTTTCTATGCTCATCACATACTGGTATATGCCCATGGATAAGTTCTGGAAATTTATTCTTGGAGCACAGCCATGGACCTCAGGGAAGGATAACCTACGTCACATGCTCTAAGTTTGTCTGCGTTCACTGCACCTTAGTCATCAACATGGCATCAGTGGGATGGGGCTTCCAAGTCTTGTGTAAATCTGTCACAAAAATGAGCAAACCTAAAATATTAGTAAGCTAGTAAAAATGCTTTAACTAGTAACAGTTGTCCTTTGGCTTAATTCATAGGCTTTCTCACCTTCTTGTTTGCAGGAAAGAAACAGTGAGAAGAAAATCTGCTTTTATTACAGGGACATGGGAGTAAGCAGTTTAACATACTGTGGATCAGTTCTAATGGCAGCAATGGGAATGAGAGCAGCCAATTATATATTGTCTCTTCTTCCCCCTGCTCACTGCTGTTTGGCATCACAGAGCTCTCTGTTGTGTGTATGCATCCTGGGCTTCTTGAAAAAGCAGGAGATGTTAAACAGTCATTGTTTAACATTTGTGGTATGTTATATCCTCTTCCCATGTGAAAATCAGAAGCTGCCTGACATTGCACAGCAATGTTGTCCATCTTTCAAAGCAGGAATAGCCTCAAGTGCCAGAAGGTAATAGTGCATGAGAACCTGTTCACTCATAGTAAGACATGAGTGCTGCGTCTGGCTGAGATTACTAGAGTCACAAGCTTAAAACTGGCCTTTGCTGCTTCCTCCTTCAGGCAAAAGTGTTATTGCAAATACTACACAGCACTGGAAGAAGGGATTATCTATCCCCTTATGCTCCACACTTTTAGTCAAAAGTTGTCTGCAGAAGTCCATGAGAGCTGGAATGTGCTGTCCGCAAGTAAGTAAACCCACCTGAGACACAGGGCAGGGGTTTTGCAGACATCCTGCAACAACCCATCACTGACAAACTGACTAGCTCAGGCCTGGACACCTCAGACAACTATCTTAGCCCTGTGTTGGGGCCAAACCAGTGGCCTGCTGACAGGTCCTAAACTTGGAAACACTAGGGCAGGTGTGCTGGCACAAATCAGCACATTCCACATTTCAAACACAAAGGGCTGCCAAGGTACACCAGCCTCAGGATCAGACACAGTGTTTTAATACAATGAAGAGCAATGCATCCTAACTTCAAATGCACAGCAAGAGCTCTGCACAGGAGACTGAATTATTGTTGATTATATTATTACTGGTTATTGATTATGGATTATAAATGCAATTCATGGTGCAACATCAGTGGCAGCTGGCATCCGTCACTGACCATCAGCTCTGACTACTGACTGGACAGAGGGAAAGAACCCTGCCATGACCTCCAGCACAGCAGCATATAGAGGTAAAAGTATTCTAACCTGATTGAGAATTGTCTCCTGTGTACTTCTCTTCATGGTGACTCTTGTAGACCTGAAGATTGGAGTAAAATATGTATGTAAGGCAGAAGAATACAAAAATAAACAGGCTACATTCAACACTGTTCTTATCCAGAATTTTCCATTCAGTTGTTTTTAAAAAGAAGGTGTATGGCAAAGACTCTTCTTTAGGTGCAGTTAGATGTAGAGAAATAATATGAAAGGAAACGGATATGTCATGCAGATAATTGCAGATACAATAGTGCTTTTATATACTAAGTTCCTGTTTAACGCCTGTGTTTGCAAGAGAACGGATATTCTTTTTAGGTATTGTTTTAAGTGCAAATTGCATATGAACCTGAAAAAATGAAATGCAAAAAATAAAAAAATCCCAAAATATTAATTTTTGCACTTTAAAGAAACATTTTCTTAGCACTATCTAAGCTAATTTTGCATGTATCCTTTCATAGGTCACTAATAAACTTGACTTCAGAAAACTCAGTTATAAAAACAACTCTCTGGCAAATGAGAGGTAGAGGTAGGTGTCATTCATCAGAACTTTATTTCCAAGTAATTTTTAATCATTCTCATGAAAAATTTTAATTATTTGTGCTTCTGAGAGAACTTCGGTAGCCCCAACAACAGGTATTCCAAGCTTTCTTAAAATTTACATAGGATATTTCCATCATCTTAAAATTTACACATATTGCTTGGACTACAATAACACAGATTAATATTCCTCTGCTTTTCCATTCTGCTCAGAAAAAAAAGCGGTCTCCAATTAATGGCAATTTAATACCTGCTAATAACTTCACCCTTTCCTTTGTTACATGGTTACAAGAAAGTATTTTGCTGTTAATAGGAAACCTGAACAAAAATGTCAGTTCCTCAAGTCTTCCTTCTAAAATTAGCACATTATATATTTCATTAGAGCTAACAGAGACACTGAGAAGGACTAAAAATAATGCATTACTTTTTTTACTTCAGTCACTAGAGAAGATACACATACTCTCTGTATACACATACTCTGATACACATCCTCTTTTCTGTCATTCTTGCAGACACTCTATCTTTTTTTCCTCTTTGCAGTGGAGGGGAGCAGGTAAAGAGGGTGAAAGGAAAAGAGAAGAAAATGGAAAGGAAAAAACCCATAAAATTCAGATATGGTTTTCTGTAATGAAGGAAAAAAAAAAAAGAGGAGAGGGAAATCCTGTGCTCATGTTCCATATAAATTTTGTTCAAGGGAACATAAGAAGTGATTCTTCCTCCAAAAATAAATTTTAAACACTTCTCTTGTAACCTGGCAGAAACTCAAAGAGAAATGATCTTGTACATACAGAGTAAGATTAAGGAATCTCATCAGATATGGTGCAGTGTGACACAATGCATCTGAACTGCTCATTCTGGTCCCAACCTGGAGCTTCTCTCAGAGCCAATGGATATATATCTCTGTCTACTGCACAGCTGGCAGAAACATTGGCACAGTCCTCCAAGTGCTCTACTAAAAAAATAAACCCACTTTTATGTTCTGAATACTTCTCTTCCCCTTCTGCAGGCATGTCCTGAAAGAGCCGTGTAAGGTAAGTTATGAAGGTAGTCACACAGTTAATCTTGGGTCAATATGTTCTTAAGAGGAGAAACAACACCTTTGTTTTAAATTTATGAATGTGCAAACACTGGACTCAATCCTGCCAGGTCTCAAATTGACAACAGCAGCATTAATAATTACCTAGGCTGCAGCACATGGAAATAGTCACATGAAAGTCAATCCCTATTCATAAATCTTCACTGTAAGAATGCTTAATACTCTCTTACATAAATTTTTTCCATGCATAAATCTAGCATACTAAATTTTTGTATGTTATAAATCTGGCACAGAAATACATGAAGGTTTCTGCACAGTGATCCCTAATAATACTATGATATCCCTTACAGAAGCTGTTGGTAATGGCAAATATCTACTTTTGTTTAAGGTGAAACAATGCATAATGTGTAAGGATGTTTCAAAGTCAACATACATTGTCTGAATGCTGAAATCCAGCCATTTAAAATTATGACAATGCATTTGCATCAAAATTTGAATCATGACAGCTTTTACTGCTCTGTAACTAAATAAATAGTTTGTTTGATTTCCTTTTATCCTACCATAAAGATTTATCTGTGGCTTGAAAAAGAACCTAATTTTTTTAGGGTAAAGAAATGTTCTACTGCTGCAAGTATTCAGGCATGGATTTTAGGAATACTGCAGTGTCCAGTATCTCCTACAGGCAGGAGGTATTTCAACCACAGAAGTGAAACAGAATAATTACATAGCTGTGTTGGATGCACCTTGTTTTTTCCCCAAGGGACCTTACATTTCCATACACCATGCTTTCTGTTAGGCTGTGGTCTTTAGCCTTTGTGGCAGACCTCTATATCTGTGGAGAACCTTTCGACGGCCATATTCCCTGGGATTACCAAATGTGTAAAGCTCCCTAGACTATCAAATTTGTGCTCAATTCACCAGTAACTGCTTATGAATGAATACTAAAAAGACATGAAGGGTGGTGCTTTTCATCAGTGCCAGCAGTACAGAGAATATAAATGTCGCCTTGGACACAAGTTGTCAGATAAAATTTGTTTCATAAGTTCCCTTGTTCTCATTGACAAGGAGGGGCTGATAGGGCAGGGGAAGTTCAAGGACAGCCTGGGTATCCAACCATGAAATGGAGAAGTTCAAGATCCTCAGGACAGTGAGGAGGGCACACAGCAAGCTCATTACTCGTTGGAGGAGGGCCAGAGGAGGGCACAGAGATGACCAGAGGGCTGCAGCACCTCTCCCATGTGGAAGAGATGAGAGAGCTGGGGTTGTTCAGCCTGGAGAAGCGGCGGCTTCGGGGAGACCTTGCAGCACCTTTCAGTACCTAAAGGGGCCTGCAAGAGAACTGGAGAGGGGCTTTTCAAGGGTGTCTAGTGATAGGACAAGGAGGGACAGCTTCAAACAGAAAGATGGCAGGTTTAGATTAGGTATCAGGAAGAATATTTTTACTGTCAGAGTGGTAAGGCACTGGCACAGGTTGCCCAGGGAAGTTGTAAATGCCCCATCCCTGGAAGTGTTCAAGGTCAGGTTGGATGGGGCTTTGACCAACTTGGTCTAGTGGAAGGTGTCCCCTGTGGCAGGAGGCTTGGAACTAGGTGATCTTTAAGGTGCCTTTCAAGATAAATTAGTCTGTGATTCTTACTGGCTTAGGCAGTCCAATAAACTGGGCAAAGAAAACCAGAAAAGGACTTTTTTCTGTATTCCAATGAACTGGGCAAAGAAAACCAGAAAAGGATTTTTTCTATATTCCTACTGCTGTTTTTTACAGAAGGCTGCAAATTTGTAATTGTGTTATACTCATTATCTTGCAAAAAGAGTACAGTATCATATCTACACTTCTCTGTACCAGTCTTTCAGCTGTGTTTTTTTTAAAGAAAAAAAGATCAGATTGTATCTCACTTTCAAATCAAAGCAGCTATAAATGAAAAAACAATGAAGAGCTTTAAACAATTAATTAAAGAGAATACATTAGAATACATAACTTTATCACTGCTTCTGTTACAAAACTCAGTTGCAGTCTAGCCTGAGATTTTAAAAAATACTGTGACTGTAAATACTTTGCTGCTAATACTAAAACCCATGGTTAATTCAAAGATGAGGTCAGTTTACAGTATTATGAGTCTTACTTTTCAGTGATAAACCTTCAAAGTTCTTCCAAAAGTTATGCAGTTTTCTTCCTTGACTACCTACCTCCACAAAACTTATGCAAGGAGGATAGTTTCAGTGGGCAAATTTTACAGACTACCACCTATGAAATTCTTCCAGTAGTAGTGGTATTCCAATAATGTGTTAATATTCAGTATTGTTCTTCTAAAGAAGGGACAACTAGACATACTTGTGACTTTCTAAATACTTTTTCTGCATAAGTGTCTTTACCTATATGAGGTGTAAAAGCACATAAAAGTCTCAATAAAACACATAACCCCTTCCAGAAACAATATGGAAACATATCATGTTTCTCAAGCACATCCTTGGCCTAAAATGTTGCCAGCCACTTCCTATTTCACCCTTACAGACCACAAGCTAAAGACAGATTTCACTCTTTACTCACAGAATTTCAGACTTCTTTACAGGGCATGTGCTAGAGTATTTTTGGAGCAAAGCATGTGATATGATCATTTGCCTCAGACACTGTCAGCAGGTGGACAGCAGGAGCAGATTACAGCAAACAGCTCCCCATACGACCAGCTTGTTGCAGGACCAGCTGGTGTGGATGAGTGCCTGGATTGCAGAGACCTGGGTCAGCTGCTGCTGCTGGTTTACTTGGGTTATGGCTTGAATGACAGCCCTCCAGAACACTTGTTCTAATGAGTGTGTGAAGTCTCAGGTGCTGCATGAAGGCTACACTTTATTTAAGAACAACACATTTGCAAGCCTTATGACTGCTGAGCATAGGTCATTATTAGGCATAAATACACCAGATAGACTGTCAAGAGCAGGTCTAGAAAGAAGGCCCTGAACTCCCTTTGAACTATGGTCTGTGTTGCTCCACGGTATCATGGACTCAACTGTCACATTCATGCTCCAGAAAATTAAAGCCTTTCTTCCTCTACTCAACAGTCCTACAGAATGAGAATAGCCGATGCAAATGCTGAAGTTTTCTTGCATGCTCCAACAATCAATGAGAATCTCATTGTAAATATAGATTACATCTGCTTGCAAAAATTGATAAGCCAAAATATATTATTTTACTAAAAGCTATGAAAATTATCACATGAAAGAAATACAATACCTGTTTGTTGTTTTCGTTGGTACAATGCAGCCTTTTGAGGGACACAAAGTGTCTTATTTTCCTAGCAACAGAAATAATCACTTGTTACCATATCAAATGCTAAAGAGAGAAGTGAAGTGATACACTGCTATTTTCTATAGCAGAGATCTCCATGCCCTCAGGAAACCAGATACCAAACCCAACACCAGCGAGATGACTGGGTGACCAGCACTTCTTCAGCATTACAGTGATGTTTTTGTCCCAGGACACGTGATCCTTTTGCTCCTTCAGGAATTCTCCTGCACATCTGGGAGCTGAATTTGGCAATGTGCCGATTCTACACCGCAAAGGTGGGAGCATGTGCAAGCACACACACAAACAAGGGGATTGCCCAGCTGCTAAATACATGGAGGTTCATGCCAAACTTACAGATTGAGAAAGCAGAAAGAAGGCCCTAAAAACCAGAAAGCAGGTATGTTCTGGACAAGTTAGTTACCCTCCTTGTCCTATCACAGGTGTTATCTTCACATGCTGCTGGATACTGTCTCCTGATTTTCTTCTTGCGTAGTAAACTCCTTGCCATTCCTAAGGAAACACACACAACAGAGACAGCATCTAAGAATATATAGCTTGCAGTCAAATCTTCATTTATTATTGCATAATCCTTACATAGTAAATTGTTACATTTTATTTCATGGTTGTCTTTTCTAAAGTAGTATAAAATTTATTACTAGAGAATAGCACCTTTAACAGTCATTTGCTAACATAAGGACAGGGTAACTATGTTTCTCTTATGAGAGTGCATGCAACTTTTACAAAGAACTTCAGGAATCATCTACTTAGAGGGGTTACAAACATTCTTGCTAGGTACCACCATAAGCAGCAGTGGTTGCAACACATCCAGATGGTACCTCCCTTGGGACCAGCAGAAACAAACTGTACTGAGCACCATTCAGCTTTGAAGTTGTCGGTTGCCAAGCAATATGTATGCTAAATTTCAAAAATCCTTGACCTAAAGATGTCCTTCAACTAACCTCAAAGAAGAAATATTTTTAAGGAGAGAACTACATGGCAGCAGAGTAGGATTAAACTGGAAAATGGGTGGAAGATACCTTTGAGTAGCAGTGCGAGCTGCTGGGCAGCCCATATAAATGAGGAGGAGTGCAGCAGGAGTGGCCTGCAGGTCAACTGCAGACAACTCCAGACAGTGACTCCAGATCATTGCTGGAAGTGATTCAAAGGTTCAAGAACTCCCCAAAGTTCTTGAAGCAGAATGTGAAACAGGGAAAGGTACTTCTGCAACCTGTGGGAGATGGGATAAGAGACTGTTGCTTGGATTAGGGGAACGTATTGCCAGGCCCATCACCACAACAACAGGAGTTCACAGGGCTCTGCAGATAGAATTCTAACTGTAGTTAGAAAAACAAACCCCACTGAGTGCCAATACTTTTTGGTGCTTCAAGTATGCAGTCAGTGAAGGCTCTGCAGTTTGACAGAGCAGTTAAACCTTTGGTTGGATGATTCAGCCACCTGAGAGACTGACTGAGGGACAAATATTACATTCCAACTAACAAAAACTCCATGGGCTATAAGCAAAATAGAAACAGAGAAAACATTCTGATACTGATCTTAAGCCAACAGATCAGTAGGATTTCAGTCAGATCCTAAAAGCAAAGCTAATGAAATCTGTAGTCACTTGTCTGTGACATGGGCTGTTGTGGTCCTTAGACATCTAAGGAGCAGAATTGTGGTCTTATATGTACACTCGTGAAGAACACACATTGTGTTCTTAAACCCAGAATGATGAAAAATAATGCAGAATATATAAATAAAAAATAAAGCAGAATCTATAGCAATGAGATTGTTTTATTTGCTTACCTTTCCTTTTTTAATGAATGTGTTTATGTTGTCTAAAAGATCTGCACAGTTTTTATCGCTTTTAGGTAATTCAGTAAGTTCCTTGCCAATAAGCTCTCCCTTGCAGTATCCCATCATCTGTTCAAAGGCTGGGTTAACATACTGCCAAGACAAAAGTACCTTTTGTCAGTATCTAAAGAAATGTACTTAAAGGAATTTAAGTAATTACTCACATTAAACTATTGAAGTGTGACAAGTTATATGGCTAAAACCACAACCACACATCCCTACAATTAGGTGTTTATCATATAAAAATACTATGTGATGGTGAAACATTTTATTCAAGTAAGAAGCCAAACACAGCAAGCAATATGTAACCTCCTATCAGAAAGCACAGAAAGAGAATAATACAGGTTTTACCATAGACAACATTACTGAAAATTATAATCTAAATACAGTTACTGAAGGAAAAGTCTTATTCAGCAGGTGTCAGTGTGCATCATCCAAAAATTAGGCACTTAATTCCACAAGGTTTTCTAATGGGCAACAAAACTAAAATACTGAAATAGAACAGGAACTACTGTGCAAAGATCTCTTTGGGGTTCTTCTTTTCCAATTCTATAAAATAGTTAAAGTTTCCCCCCCTACCTGAATGACATGATCTTCACTGGTTATTTCTACAGCTTCCTGACAATGGTCTAATGCCGTAAACACTGCATTACAAGCTCTGAAATTAGCAAAGGATTAGCACATTAGTTTTATTGTTAGAACATTTTGTTAACTATAAATACATTATGAAATTGTACTTATCGGCAGATGAATCACAAAGTTGCAGTTGTTTTGACTAAACCATGTCACTATCTTCAGTATGACTTTTTTCAGAACATCCAGCCTCAGACAGCCTTGTTATCATGTTTTTACTACAGATCACATTGTAAAAGTGCTTATAGGCACTGCAGCATCTTAATAGTATATTTTTATCTACATACATGCTTTAAACAGCGGGAACTAACAATTAGCAGTAAAACTAACATGCTACTGTTACATCAGAAAGTTTTGTGATCATTAAAGATTAGGAACACAAAAATCATCATAGCAGATATATACAAAGTTTTCAATAAGCAAATGGATTGGCACTGTCAAAGAAGCTGTAATACAACATAGTTAAAGGAAACAATCTAAGCCATCTCAAAGTTCTAGTCCAAAAAATGTCAATTTTCCTGCTCCCAAATAATAATGCAATGACTTGATTTCCATACATCCTGATTTTTAAGGGCCAAAATGATCTTTATTACCCATTTTTTTTCAAGGTTATCCTTGAACTAATGCATGAAAACAAAAGCCTTATCTTCTTGCTACAAACTTTAAGTCGCTTAAATTATGATTTACACAAATGGCCTTAACATAAGTATAGGCTCCTAATGCTAAGGAAAAAAAGTATATCTTATAGAATCACAGGATGGTTTGGGTTGAAAGGGACCTGAAAAAAGATCTCTTTCCAACCCCGCTGCCATGGGCAGGGAAAGTGCATCATACTAAAAGAAACAACCTGGCATACTGGCTTTGATAGATGTCAGTATTTCATCTTTGATTTGGACTAAAGACAAACTAATTACCTTTTATATGCCTCTCACTGCAGGGAGCAAATATGCATGAACATTCTTGTATACAGTTATTACTTAAAAGAAACATCCTGCTCCAAGACTGAATAGTAGAGTTTGAGTTAGTACCAATGACTAGATAACTAAGAAATACAGGACGTTTCTACTTCCGCTTATCATGGAATTAACTCTAACCCAAATAGGATGCATGAAGAGATATACACAGAAACACTGACGTGTAGCTGCATTGATGAAGATTTCTAGACAAAAAGTGATATCCAGAAGATGACAGAAGTATTTCAATTCATATAATAAAAGGAGCTTTTACAAGTGATTTTCCAGCAATCCAAGCTGGTTCCCAAGTGTGATTTTGTGCTGTGTGAAGTAACTGATTTATCTCAGTGACAGATTTATCTCAGTGACAGCTGCAAACAAATGTCATTACAAATGTACACTTTCTGTATGAAAACATACAAGTATGTTTTCACTATTCAAGCCTTAGTATTTTCATTTGATCTGGCAATCAACCCAGCAAAATTACAAGCTCATATCCTCTTTGATTGACACACAGATGTCCAACCAATTTTCAAATCAGAAGCAACAATGCGGAGAAGCAGAGTCCCTGCTAGGAAAGGAAAGACATTTCTGACTACTGACATGACCGTATCTATTTTCTTGGGCTGGTTCTACTCTTTCATCATGTTTCTCTTGTGTCTGAACACTTGAAATATCCCGAGTTTAATTCCATAGACTAACTTTCTGCATTCTCTTCCCTTTCACTGTTACAAAGCTGTAGAGAAGACCTACAGACCAGCAACAAGTGAGACAGACATACAGTACAACACTTTTTTACCCACTTAATTAAACCACGAGTGAAAAAAAAAATTGTAACTAAATAGCATTTCCAAATACCAGCTCTGTTTAGTTTTTAATGGCACCTGCCAAATAAGGCAGAGGTAGGGATGAGACATCAGCTTTTCCAGGTTACAAATACAGCTTTTCAGAAAGTTTACCTTTTAAAAGGCTACCTTATACCCCCCGATTTTAGTACAAAAGTTGCTTGTAAGTATTACTTGTGCTTGTTAGATGACAAGGTTTAGCTGCTTAGCTATATTGGGCCTACATCTGTTAAACTCTTTACTTAATTATTCTGGGACTGCATCTGGTAGTGGCAGTAGCAAACCCAAAGATACCACCTTTTCTTTCCATAGTATTTTACAGTGCTGCTAAAGGTTCCCAAAAGAGTCGTGTTCAGAGGTGATGTGGATACATATAAATCCACAAAAATATATATAATGTTTATTATCAATATACAAAAGACATGATAACACAGGATGAATTTTATATAATATTATTTACATAAATTAAAATGAAGTAGGCTCACAGTTTATGTAACTCCATACAAAAGAGCAAGAGCAAGCAGAATTGCTGCTGTTTCCATAAACAATATGGATGAAAGAACTGTCAGCAGATGAAATGCCATTGGGGACTGACATTGTTTCCTTCCAATTTTAATGAACTTTAACGGCTGTAAATGAACTTAGGGAAAAATATGGTAGCCAATGTGAATCATGCTCCCTGGCTTGGAGTTCTAATTATTTGCATTCATATTTGATACTACTCATGTAGAGATGCACAAAATGTATTTAGATCTTGTTCTTGAAATAAAATATGAAATACAAGCGTTGTGTGTTTAAATGACAGCTTAATCCTTCCATATAAAATTGATGTTTCTGATCTACGCTGACTTCATTCAGAAGATGCTTATTTAATCTTGCATTTGCAACTAACAGCGAACCAAGTCAGGACCACCACAACTAATAATTAACTGCTAAAATTCAACTTCTAAAATGTCATAGCTGCTTTATTCTCCTGCTGAGTTTTAGAAAACAACTATTAAAATTGTGTAAGCCCAAATTAGATTTTTTCCCTGGAAATTTTATTATAATTGCATTCTGCATGCACGAACACACAATCACTTGAAAATATGAAGTCATTTAGGGATCAGTTTGCAAAGAAAATCTTCAAAAATCTATTTCTTAAACAGAGTCACTGAAACCTGTGGAAAAATAGTAGTATTTTCTGTTACTGGAATTTAAGACACAGAGAATGACCCCTCCTCTGCATTACACTCAACTTCAAGGGCTTTTTCTTTCATGTACTTGCATTGCAAAAGTATCTATATGCATGCATAAGCAACTATATTAAACATAAAATTAATCACATTTAGGAAAAAGTGATAAGAGAATGAAAGTAATTTATTTTCTCATTATGATAAAAAACTGTGTCCCTGACCCACCAAGTCTTGCCCAAGCAAGAAAATAATCAAGATTGCATTCAGCTCAATCTATTAAATATAAAATCTTAGACACACAAGATCAAGAATGACTTTGTGAAGTTCTACCATCATGTAAATTCACAGTTTTCTGACCAAGCTTTCTCAGGGTACCAATTACTAAGACACTTAAGTTTATCCTTTACAAAATAACAGAAGGAGAAAATACAAAAGTATGTTAGTTAACATGCACATGCAAAACACACATATGCATAGCTGGGAAGAAGCAAGAAGCAACCTGATATAATTACTTAGACCAAAAGGTTGATGTTTGCAGTTTCTTACACTTCTACATACCGTAATTTGAACTGAGATCGCACTTCCCCATGTTCTATTTGAACCAGTTCATTGTAACAAGCAGTCACACTGCTGTTCTCCATGAATTGCTGGAAAACAAATCAAGAGTGCATGAAATAGATCGGAATGGTTTTAAACTGTTATTTCTGTTCCTGCATTTAAAACTCTGACCTTATAAAGAGAGCTGGCATGAGGCCAGCAAAGGGCCGCAAGGGTGATTAAGCACCTCTTCTGTGGGGAAAGGCTGAGAGAGCTGGGACTGTTCAGTCTGGATGGGACTGTTCAGCCTGGAGAACAGAAGGCTGAGGTGGGGAACTCATCAAGGTACATAAATATCTGAAGAGTGATTGTAAGAGGACAGAGCCAGCCTCTTTCCAGTGGTGCCCAGTGACAGGATCAGAGGCAACAGGCACAAACAGAAGCACAGGAGATTACCGCTGAATATCAGGCAACACTTTTTTTTACTGTGAGGGTGACCAAGCACTGGCATAGGTTGCCCAGGGAGATTTGAAGATCTTCAAAAGCTGTGTGGCATGGTCCTGGGCAACCTACCTCAGGTGTCTCTACTTCAATAGGGAGATTGGGTAGATGACCCCCCGAGGACCCTTCCAACCTCGACCATCTTGTGATTCTGTAGAAATATGCTTTTGTTGTACCTTTTGTGTTGAATAATCATCTGTTCCTCAGGAATGAGTTCCTAGTTTTTAAGACAACATGGCTATCTAAGTACAAAACAAGTATAAAAATACGCTAAAACCTCAACTGTGGATTTTTCCATTTGGTTCTAGCAACTCAGTTAGAAACAGAAAATCTAAAAAAAAACCCAAAACAGTCTTACACAAAACCAGTATCGCCTTGATGTTTCATTTGGAACATCTATCCTTAATTCAGAATGGAAAACCTTAGAGACATAAAATATTCATGCTAAAAAATAGAGAGAAAAAAAAATTTATTTGCCATTTTTTTCCAAGCAAATGTTGTAGCTAAAGCTCAGAAGTTACTTTGATTCACAAGTAATCTCACTGAGCTGTCAATGTGAATTCAGAAGTGCAGAAAAGTATGTAATGTAAGGAGCATGCTAACAACAGTGAACAAACTTTTACTCCAGACAGGAGAGATCTTGTCCTCTCTTTGTCAGGCACAGGTAGTAATCTAAAAGGTCTTGTGCTTGATCCTGCTGAAATCAGAAATTTTACATTGCTACAAAAGAAGTAGATTATTTGACTTCAAATACAGTTTATTGAGGATCACATGCACTGACTTTAGTTACCACATGAAATACCCTGTGTTGTCACTAGTTCTCACAGCACAGCTGCATGCAGAGTCAAGAGGTAGCATGCAAACCTCCAAGGAACAAAAAATAGCTTTTAGGAAATCTGTGCTTCTCTCCTGTATAAAACCTGTGGGGACCAATGGCTTAATTCCAAGTTTTAAGCAAAACGTAAAAAAATAAAATTAAAAACAACTGTCGCCATGGGTCTGTTTCACTCCTTAATGCAAAGATCTTAAAGTATTTCTGTAACTCTCACTTCACACACTAAGGGAAAACAAAACACACAGTATCAAGCTGGCAGAAGCAAAGGTGCAAATAGCATTGTGCTTTTGCATAACAAACTGTCTGCAAACAAACTCCTCTTCTATAGCACTGTAGATTTAGATTTTCAGTTTTAGAGTGCTCTTTTAAATATTCAATTTTGTGCTAAATTTAAAACAATATAAGAACAAATCTATCAATAATATAAAATTTATGGCAATCTTATTTTATAAACTAGACTTACTAGAATATAGTAAGTCTCTTTAAAAACAGCTTTTTAAAGCAGTGCAGTTTACTGACAAAATTAAACCACTGCTGTTTACTGACAAAACTCTTGGCACAAATCTTTGGCTAAGAACCAAGAACTGCAGCTTACTGAAGTGCTAAACCTGCTCTTAGGTGTTGTATAGTCTTCTGCAGATGTACAGAATCAGTTTATTTAAGTTCACAGTGCTGATGCCATTCATTCACTGGCTGACTCAAAGCAAAGAAATCAATTGGGACCTGAAAATAGCAGGAAACATTTCCTTTTTTTAATCTCTGCCCCTAATGTGACACAAGAAAAGGAAGATCTATTAACTCTCAAATATTAGAGGCAGACAACAACAGTTTCTTTTTAAAAAGTTTCATATTTATACAGTATATTTTCATTTAACTAACATATACCCTTAAATTATTTTTTACTTCATTATAATTGGATTCCATTGTTGCTCTATACAGAACTTCACACAAGCCACTGGAATCATTAGCTAGTAGGAGTGCATTATTCTTCCTGCTTAGCAATTGGTACTAGGTTTAACATTAAAAACTTCTTTTATTCCAATCCAGAGAGTTTTAATAGTATCTGGTCAATGAGAATCAACATTTGTTTAGGAAAAAAAGTTCAAAATACAAGACAAGACTGTAATTCAATAGTTGCAAACATTCAGATCCCCTGTTTGCTGATTTAAATCATAGCTAAAAATCAGTCAGGAAGCTAAATCACCTATTCAAATTAGTCCATCCTAAGTAGGCCACCATTATTAGATTTATGAGGTTGAGAGGAAAAAAAAATCAGCATAATTAATATACTGGACTAACAACAGCATTAATACACAAACACAAAAGCGGTTAATGATGTAGGGGGGAAATCAGAAGATGCAATAAAATAGACTTTCTTGAGAAGGAGGAAGACAAAACAGAAATAAGTAAACAAGAAAAAATTATTATTTAAACAGCTATGATTTTCCAAAAATAAATTTCATTTTTGCTCCGGAGGAAGAGATTCCTTACAAATACCATCTCTCTTGAAGAAGGGTATTTTTAAATCTTTGTGTGGGGCAGTTTCATGTGTTAATGGATTTAGTCCTTACTGATCCCTATCTATCCAAGCAGAAATAGTTCCTATGTCTATACCATTGCAAAAATGGAATGTTTGACATCGGATGTGTTTTAAAGTCTTGAAAATAATTCCAATAGGGAATTATTATATTGCACAAGCTCTCTGATAAATTTGGGACAGCAAGAGGGAATGATTAGAGCAGCTGTCAGGTGCAAAAAGATTTTATTTTCCTAGGCAGACAGTGTGCCACTGGAATGTGTCTCGATGCTGCAGAGTGTCTCCTCTGGTTTTACTCAGTACTATACCTACAGTTATAATCTAGCTCATGAAACATTTTCCTGCATAATTTTAAAATGAAACACTAGAACTGAGAAGTAATAAAGTTTGCTTTGAAAACTATTAAAGCTTTTTTTTTTTTGAGAGAGAGAGAGAGATCACTAAGAAAGTACTGGCATTCTTGAGCTGACCTTTCTCTTAGATTCACCTTTTCCAATTTTCAGAGTGTCTATGTGCTTTAGAAAGGCTTTGGCCTTCAAATCATTTGCCCCCACAACACCCTGGCAGGAGAGGCAACACCTAGTACCTCTTTTTATTTTGAGATGCTCTGAAAATGGTAATTCTGGTGCATGTTCTGCTATGTAAACAAACTTGAGCTGAATGTGAGTTAACTCAGATACTGGACATCTGAGCATCTGAGCATGAGATTCTACCTGAATTAATTCCACTCCTTCTCTGATATTCCTTACTACAATTCATTGTCCTAACTATATGTATATTTAGGACAATATATAGTTAAATCTCTCTAACTACAGTGCCCACTGATGTGATTCTGTTGCCTAAGTACATAACTCCTTATGAACTTAAATAATACCGCTGATTTATAATATAGCAACATAATATTCATGCCCATCCAAAGCCATTCACACAAAGATTAGAAGAGGGTAAGAAACCTAGATATTCGGAGCTGAGAACTCCTGCTTTTCTGCTCTCTCCTACAAAGATGTTTTGAGAAACAGTATGAACAGTTATCTTTACTTCTGCTGCCTGTACAGGAGAGCTTCTAACTCTGTCCTGAGAAGAACTGGTGCAAACCAGGACAACAGACCTCATGGGAAAAAAATAAATTCTTCTTCACATCAGGAGTTGGACCAGGTTTGTAGTCCCATTGGAAGAGGAATCCCAGCAGTCTGAGACATGCAGAGATGTTGGGGTGACTAGTCAGCATGCTGCAATATGCAGCACATGTTCATCAGTCTCCCATCATTGTTTTTTAATGCAGTCATAAACAAAACCCACTCACTGCCCAGTCAGACCACAAGAAATTAATTTCAGTACTCTTGCTATTCTGAAAGGATTAGCTAGTCTCTTATTTCACATGCTCCTGGAATACATTGTTGAAAAGAAAAGAATACCAAATCAACTGTCACAGGTTTCTTATCAATAAATTTTTGACAGAAGAGGATGTATAGTTTTCAGTTTGAGGAAGTAGAAGTGTCTGTAATTTATGAAGTTACTATATGTTTTCTATATTACATGGGCAAATTATACTTACCCTATCAAAGCCTGCATCAAGAAGGGGAAGAACAGAGGTCTCTTCTTGGTCAGCAGATCTGTGAAACAAAATCACAGGATCATAGAATCATTCAGGTTGGAAAAGACTGTTAAGATCATCAAGTCCAATCTTTCACCCTGCACTGTCAAGTCCACCACTAAACCATGTCCCAAGTACCACGTCTACACGTCCTCTAAGTATGTCCAGGGCTGGTGATTCCTGGGCAGCCTGGTCCAATGCTTTGCAATCCTTTCAGTGAAGAAATTTTTCATAATATCCAAACCTCCCTTGGCACAACTTGAGGCTATTTCCTCTTGTCAGATCCCTTACTACTTGAGAGAAAAGACTGAGCCTCACCCCGCTACAACCTCCTTTCAGGTGGCTGTAGGGAGCTATAAGGTCCCCACTCCGAGCCTCCTTTTCTCCAGACTAAACACCCCCAGCTCCTTCAGCCACTCCTCATATGCTCCAGCCCCTTCCCCAGCTCTGCTCTTCTCTGGACTCACTCCAGCACCTCAATGTCCTTCTTGAATTGAGGGGCTCAGAACTGGACACAGGATTTGAGATGTGGCCTCACCAGTGCCAAGTGCAGGGGAGGACCATCTCCCTGGTCCTGCTGGCCGTGCTATTTCTGATACAGGCCAGGATACCATTGGCCTTCTTGGCCACCTGGGCACTGCTGGGTCATGTTCAGCTGCTCTTTAACCAGCACCCATGGGGGTGTCCTTTTCTGCTGGTACACTTTCCAGCCACTCCTCCCCCTGCCTGTGGTGCTGCCTGGGGTTGTTGTGACCCAGCACTTGGCCTTGTTGAACCTCATACCATTGGCCTCAGTCCATCAATCCAGCCTGTCCAGATCCCTCTGCAGAGCCTTCCTACTCTCCAGCAGAACAACACTTCCACTCAATTCTGTGTCATCTGCAGAATGACTGAGGGTGCATTCAATCCCCTCATCCAGATCATCAGTACAGACATTAAAAACGACTGGTACATTGTATGGTCACACAACATTAAAGAATTAGATGGTATAAATTTGACAAGTTATCTACACATAACTAACTCAGTGAGAACACTTTTGCATAAAATACATACATAAAATCATACTATTACAGAAGTTGATGCTACAGTCTTCTTTTATAGGTATCTGCAGCTATTACTACAACCTGATAGTTATTCCCACAGCAAACCTGACAGATCCTCTACAGAAGTCCTGTGTCTCTTCACAGTCAGGGGATTACAAAAAGAAAGAGAATAAAAGACATCCTGTGATATCCTCTTAGAAATAATCTCAAAAAAAGTTATTAAGAAAAAGGTGAAGCAAGTTGTAAAATCTTGCTCAGCAGCAAATTTAGTCTATTTTTGAATCTTGACAGGAATAGTTCTCTTGTCACTCTATTTCCTAATATTTTAACTGATCTAGGAAATTATTGAAATGACAATGGATTCAGTAGTGTGTAGAGTTCTAATCAGGGTGTCTGAAGGTATTTGATGAAGATGTATTTAAGTCAGTAAGAACTCTCCCTGAACATGTGGAGTATGAATTACTGAATAAGGATTTCAGGATAACATTCTGGTAACTATAGCATAAACAGGATTGAATTTTGCTCCATTACCTCGTTCCCTAAAAAACACAGTGTGTTAATTGACCTAGTTATTTCCTTTAGAAAGTAATATACAGCTTTCTGGTTTTGGTTTGGATTTTTTTTTCTTTTAGAAACTAACATATATCTTTCTAATTTTCTTAGTATACAAACCATTCTGAACCTGATAGGGATAATACTAGTGTGCATGAAAGGAAAGTTATTAAACACAAATAAAACATAAAACATCACTAGCCCATTTCAGGTGAAAATTATTAAACTTACCCTGTTAAACTTGTTAGTAAGATGCTTTCTGTTATTAGATAACTATTATGCATAATATTCTTATAAAGTAAAATAAAAATCTCTCACAAATCAGTAATACTTACATGCGTGGAACCACAGCAAGTATTACAGTATGCTCTGATGGCTCTACAGCACGAATAGACCTGAGGAAACAAAAATTTCTCAGCTACACTTAGTGCTTTCTCAATGTTGCTCTGAGTATCTACACTGAAAATATAAATGAAACCATGACTGAAAGACACCATTGAGGCTAGAAAACAGGATATTGCACTGCCAAACCTACCTATCCCCACTTAGACAAACCATTTTCATTTTGCTGCTAGATTCCTTTTGCTCTATGCAGTGCGGAAGGCAAGAGCTCCAAAAATACATAGCACAAACAGCAGCTTTTCAAATCCACTCTTTGTTTGCCCTGTGTACTCAAGTTATTTGGGGCAGACTGCCCTGAATGCGTGAGTTGAGAAACCCAGCACATTTCAATACCTGCTAGCTAATTTAAACAAGAATCTCTACCACTTCTCATATTTACCACTGTCCCTCTAGACATTCTAAAATTTTCTTTAGAGGGTGAGAAGTGCTTTTGAGGTATGCAAGTAAGAAAAGTGGGTATAGCAAATTATGACAGACTATCATTTATTAATTGCTGAATAAACAAAATTTAGCACCTTGCATAGTATTGGGAAACTGAAAAAAAAATGACAACCAATTACCAGAACACCCTATTCACTTTTTACAGGTGAAAAGTAAGTTTTTCACTCGTATCACACTGTCCTGAATAAATGATCTTTATTTTTGTTTGTTGGTCTTTCAGAAAAACTTACATCAGCACGAGTATTTGAGCATTAAAATGCCCCTTGTCATAAACATGGCAAATTTCAGGTCATGGTAGACTAGAAGTACAGTATGGTGCAAAATGTATTCTTCAGCTGAAACAGCATATTTTAGCAAAGCATCCCAATATTAAGCACTTGCAAGTGCACAAATGCTGCTTAGATAGAATCATGTGGACCAGAGGAGTGATGTGAAGTTCTACAGAGAACTGGCAGTGCCTGACCTAGTGGGCAAACATGCTCCTTTGAAGTCTGCAGCTTCAGACTTTGCTGTAGTAGTAAGCCAGGAAAAAAACAGAAGGGAATAATTTAACAACAGCTCTGGCTTATGCTCTGATAGAAGCCCATGACCTAGAGACAATTCTGCAATTCATCTTTGCCAAAAGTGTAGTTGTCATATTGTTATTCTCTTACAGATTTATGCAAACCTCCTAGTCTCAGTTCCCCAACTTCCATTTTCTTGTAATTTTGGGTGTTCATTTTTGTTTCTTTTTCACTATTTTTGTTTTAAAATTCAGAGGTTTTGTTTTGTACAATATATTCTGAAGCTCAAGAGAAGCATAAGGTCATTTAAGTTACCTGCAGATATCTTCTGCATCAAAATATCTGGAGTTCCTGTGATCTATAACAATTATTTCCTGGTGCTTATCAAGAAAACATTCAAGTGCTGACTCAGGAGTCCAGGCAATATTGCACCTGTATCCAGCTCTGTCACAAGCCCACCAGAAACCATTGCTTTGGTTGTCTTCTTTTGCAAAGATGAGCAAAACCTGCAAAGGATGCAAAACAGCAGCACCACATTAAACACACAAAGTAGTCCTCTGCATGGTGCAAATCTTAACAAACACTTCTGCTCTACGAAAGATTGAGTCTGCTTTGAAAGTGGGAAGGTTGAAGCACAGCTTGTAAAGCAGCTGATGCAGTAGTACAACGTTCTTAATGGATAGAGAGGTCATCAATAGATAATCAATAGTTAATTGAGTAGGTCTGGTTTTCAGGACTAGCTTGCTAGATGATGATTCTTTCCTACCTCCTATTCCAATTCATTCAGTAACCACCCAGAGTGTTCAAACATCATTGCCACTCCCATCAGGCCATCCAAGCTATGCACACTTTTGATTGTAAGGAACTGTCTGAAATCATCACTTTTCCCTGAATAGGGAAAAACAATTAACATAGCACAGTTTTATTCATAACCAATATTATTTCAATACTGAAAAGAGCAGGTTTGGATAGGATTAGGTGTGTGTGGGAGAAAATCAAACATCACAATTTTGTACTCAATAAATTGTCCCAAATTGTCCCTGAATATATGAGGTAGTTTCAACAATTTCAGCTGAACACTTAAGGAACTGCTCACGCAAAATTGGATAGGATGTGTGCTGAGGTGCCATTCTGAAAAGCAAGGAGATGCTGTAGGAAGCCTGTTTGCTAACTGACACGCAGAATAGAGACTGAAAACGGCTGTATTTCTGTGCTTCTCATGTAAGAGAAAATGTTTTTAGGAGAGAATATCCACTTCTATAATACATACATTATCAGAGTACAATTTATTCAGCAAGGAACACAAGTCATGTAGACATCCCTCATTACAATTTGCATATATTTACCATAGCGACAGGTAACTAACCATGCTGCTCTGTGTGTCAGATGAAGAAAAGGGCTAATTTAGTGCAAATATACTGTGAAAAAGAAGGGCTCACAAAGTCAAAAGTTTATCCACAGCTATTTAAATTGCACTGAAAGGCAGCAGCTAGAGAGTAATCACTTATAAAGCAAAATCCTGTTCATTTCACAAATAAAAGTCATACCTGACTTCAATGAAACAACCTGTCTGTGAAAAATTTGCAAAATTTTGCTCCAAATGCCCACAAGAGAAGTCAGTAACCTTTCATCTGTGCTGCTTTGTGCAGCTGTGGTGTCAGCCCAGGAATTTCAACACCGTCAGTCTAGAAGTTAGAAAAGGAGCATATCTTTCCTCTTATCCTGAGCTCTCTGTATTGTTGAATTCTAAACAATTAAAAAATCAATCAGTGTTACTGTGATAGAACCACCAGTCAAGATTTCATTAAACAGTGGAAGAAAAATATGTACTCAGAATTTCCATAATTATTAAGAAACAAATTAGGAAATTTCAAATTATTAGAAACAGGTTTGATTGCAACTAATAATAACTAGATTTGGTTTACTGACACACAACATCCAAGGTAAGTGTTGCCATTCTACCTAATGCCTGATTTTTTTTCCGGCCATCAAAGTGATGGAAAGCAGTGATGTGGTCAAGCTGCAGACTTTGTCTGCCCATTCTTGGGTCAAGTGCCTACTCAGATAGAATCTTCTGTTTGGTTCCAGCTGCCATTAGTTTTATTTTGTTCCTTTGTTTGAAAAAATATGGTTCAGAAAAATTTGGCATAGGAGTGTGCATATTTTTTGTATCTTCCTTCTCTCAGCACTTCTAGTTTGGAAAGAAAGGACTGCAAAATACAATAATTTACCAGCTGTAAAATAATACAGCCTAATTAAACCACCCAATCTCTCACTGGTAGCTAATTATTAGTGTGCAAATCCTTCCGAGAATATAAACGTTAAACGTTGTTTTAAAGTTTTACTACTATGCTTTCTCATTAGCATTTGTATGAAGCTTACTATTAATCACCAAAACATAACCTAACTAGAATTATAGCCTAAGATACTTTCTCAAAGTCAACATAAAAGTATAACAATTCAAATAAACAACATGATCAAGGAAATGCTTGAATTTGATCTGTGTCCCTTGGCAAAAAAAATGCAGGTAGTTATCTTTCGCTGCATAATTTGCCAATGTTGCTGTAAAAATCAGTGCTGCCCTGGTTTAGGAGCACCATGAACTTTCTCTATGGAGACCTTTATAATTTTGGTGATGTACTTTTTACTCTCTTTCTAAGTACTTGCTTCACACAGCTATTGCACATCTTGCTCCCAGTTTATTGTACAAATATAGAAAATGGTCAGAAATTTTCTCTAAAGAGCTTGAAATAAAATAAGGGACACCAGCTTAGGACATGCAGGATACTCAAAGAAAACAGAGAATTACAGCAACTTAAGAAGTTATTTAATTATTTTCACGTCATCATATCCCAGCAAGAGACTTTTAAGGTGGAAAAGACATAGTATCCCTGAATTAAGTTACAAAAATTTTAGTCCAAAAATTGGCATGAGGAAACAACAAAATGCTGTGCGTTGACATGGTTCATTTGCAGCTCATCAGGGAATTTCAAAATCATCAGACCAGAAATGGAGTTTGATGTCAATGCTGTGAAAGAGATTATGGCAAATGAATATCCTAAAAGGTGAGAAAATGAAGCATTTGAATAGGTGCACACCCAAACGTTTATCAGCCCTAATAAACACTTCTGCAACAAGATACAACACCTTTTTAATGTTTAAACACTAAATGTTTATAAAAACCACCTACCTCCTCTGTCCTCTGGAGAGGGCACATTTACATGTACTTTTATCATGGTCATTTCTAAGGTCTCAGAATCAAACCATTCCTATTTGCAAACCTTGGTACAAAATTGGGGCAGATGTGCAAGCTATATGTGGCATGTTAGGATGGCCAGGGCTTGTTCATTTACTTTAGACTCTCCCCCTTGCCTCTTAAGGCCAGAAGCACCTGGGTCATGATCCAGTATAAACCAAAGCAGATTTTTTCTCCAACATATACAGTCATAAAGTCCAGTGAGGAATCTATTTATGGTTTATGGCAGGTCACAGCCATAAGGTCACAGGTAAGGTCACCTCTCAGACAAAAAATGTGTGCCATTTCAAGGTCGGCACAGGTGTCCCAAAATAGCATAAAACGCACACCAGAATAAAATGAACTTTGCTAAGAAAAGTAGAAAAGTCCCAGTGGCAATTGTTTTAACAAACTGAACTTGCTTCTCAGACAATTGTAAACATTATTAATCACCCACAAACAGACATTTAAAATGTGACATTCCGTAGTTGTTTGCACTGTACAGAGAAACATGTAATTGCATTGTTACGATGGAATAAAAGATTAGCACACATTTTTAAATGTATGGATGTGTGTAACACTTGCCAAATTATCTGAGGCAATATGGTGTGTTCCACAAACAAAGAAGGTGGCTTTACATGAAGTGTTTTACCTTTACCATAATAAGTTAGCATATGGGAACGTCTTCGTAGAAAATTCTTCAGTTAATGATTTTACTTAAAGAATGGTTTCTGCTTTACTTAACATGGATGTTTACACTGATTCTCACTTCTGTTATGCAGGGACAAAAAACCATCCCCATCTGGCAAGATAGCAAGGCGAATGTCAGATTTAAAAACAAAAAAAATACCACTTTTGCTTCTTATATGAAAAATCTTCACTTGTAACAGCTAACACTGAAATGATGATACTTTGGCAAATCCAATTTCTACAATGCAATACACTGACATAAGGACTGAGAGTATTTGTAGTTGCTAAAGGACTGCTTTAGCATCTTTCTCAAGATGATCATGGTTTAAAGAATATTACTCTGTGAAGAGTTCTACATTTCTATGTTGAAATTCCCTGCAAAACCAAAGGCTGTTCTATTGCTGAAGCCGCTGTTCCACAATCTGGTTACAATATCAACAAATATTTCATTGGATCAAGTCATAATTAAGATGCTTAATAGTCATAAAAAATTAAAGCTCTATGATGCATATATACAATTTAGTTTCCCCAAGAATAGCATTTTTTCCACACATAAATTTTTCACAGAAAAAGTGATGGTGACTAAATGACTCCGTATTTTATAGAATTAAGTGACTCCAAGGTTAATTCAAATGAATTACATATCACTAGAACAATGTTAAAGCTTAAAACTATTTAATTTCCTATAATCTGAGAGTTCCAACACTTGTTATAAGCTAAAAAAAATAACACTTGGCATTTGTTTACTGTCACAGGAATAAAACCTACAGAAAAAGAAGCAGGTATAGGTGATGGCTGTTGCTCCTTAAGCTGAAGTTCAACCTGTTTTGTTGGAGGTCATATGATTTCTTGGATTGGGGATCTGTAGAACCACAGTTCTTTGCCCTGTTACAGTTCTCTGTCCTGTTGTGCAAACCCCAGAAAACCTGGATGTGTACTTAAACTCCATGAAGCTCTCTGCTTTGGTATATCAGAACTGAATAGTTTTTAATATGCACAGAGGAAGCTCTTATGTCTGTATGTTAATGCACATACACACATACTCCTACTAACAGGACATGGGTATGATGGGACATTAATGGAAATCTAAGCATATTGTTTACCAACTTAATTTACTTGTAAATCTCTTCTCAAGCAATCAGATACAGCAAAACACCTATTACCCATCTCACAATCCTTGTACAAGTGAAATGAAAATAAGATACTTAACTATAACTATTAACTATTAAGACTGAATTGGCTGTATCAAGAACCTGAAGGAGCATCTTACCTGAATTGGGTATTGTGTCAGTCTCATGGGCCCAACTTGTATTTCTGTAGTTGAAGCCTGCTAAAGAAGAGCAATACAGATATTTTTTTCAGTTCAGGTCTTAATAAGATAGCATTTTACACGCAAAAAGGAAAGACAAAACAGAACCACGAAAGAGGCTCAAAGGCAGGCTGGCATATGACTAGCAGCCTTAATTTGGCTGCTTTGAAGTGTATCTTACGTGATCATATTCACTAAATTCCTAATTTTGCTTTATTTGCTTGCAATTTAAAAATTGTAGGGTTTTAAACAAGGAATCAAGAAACACCACTTCCTTTTCCCTCTCTCCCCAGAAGAGTACTTTAGTTACATAGAAGGACTTGTATGTTGCTTAAGACTACAGAAAGCCATTTATTTCTGGCCAAAAATTGCCCTATTCATTTGAATGTAATACAGAACTAGTATTAAAGGTCTTGTGACATACACTAAATAACAGTGTTTTAATGGGTTTGATCAGGAAAGAAGTGACTTTTCAGACAAGGGAACTTGTTTGAGTTGCAGATTTAAAGCTGTTTCCCAGAACAACTCTAGTTTTCAGGTAAAAACATCACTACCATGTGAGCCATGACATTTTCAGAAGACATGAAAGCACATCATAATTTAAACCTACTGCAAGAAAGCCAGTAGATGTAGGTGGTGGCTGCTTTGTTTGTCATATTTCCTAGGAGTTGGACTACCTTAATACTTTTTGTATCTTGATACATTTCAATACACTTCTCCTGTACACCACTGATTTGTTTCACTTCAATCCATTAGTTACAGAAGGTTGTTAAGCAACAGAACAATACATATGTCTTCCCACAGATGCACATACATTTGAGTCTTTGAACCCTTAAAATGTTGTTCCCCTCATGCATATGGAGAATTAGTTGCAAGTTACCAATCTCCAAAAGGGTAGATTCTTTTGCTTTCCTAGTTACCAGTTACCCCAGGTACCTGGGGTAAGCAAATTAAAGCAATCACCCCCCAAGACATATAATTTGACCAAAATCCTAATTGTAGACAGAGTCCCGGGGCCATTCCCTGACACATAGGAATCCTGGAGCATTATTTCTGTGGCATTTTGCTCTGTGATGCTCGATAAGTTTGAGCCTTTTACACAGGCAACACCTAATCCTTCAAAAATGCATTTTTCAAAGGAATATGTAACAATATTCAAAATTATTGAAGGTACCAGTATTCAACATTTTCCTTCCGACAGTACAATACTGTGTTAAGTATTAACAGCCTTGCCTGCATGTGAGACAGTGGTATTATGTATAGCTACGACTGGCACGTTGGGCTTTCATGCACCACCGCACATCGATTCTTCTCAGCCCAACAACATACGTCAGAAGGTGGTAATGGGCAGTACTCCAAAAGATTAAACTACAAAGCCTGCCACTGTTCTCCAAAGCAAAAACTGCCTCCAATATAAATGTAGTTAACCTCTCCCTTTCTCACAGAAAAGCTTCACTTCCCACTTGAGCTCCCGCTGTAGCAGAAAGTAGCTTAGTGCCTGTAAGCGTATCTCAACAGAAATGAAAGCACCTATCATAAACCATGACTTGAGAGTAAGATTAGAGAAACAGTTCTCTGAAAGCTCCCACCTTCTCTTCCCCTTCAGCCAAAAAAGAAAAACAGCACATTCACACTTCACTGGTACTATCTAGGAAACTCTTCAAGACATTTTTTTATCTTGATTTACTTTTATTAAAAAAAAAAAGTTTAGAAAATCTGTAAGACTACACAACAGATCTGGGTCAGTGTCAGAGCAAAAGCTTCTTTTTTGACAGTGCACAGCTCAAACTGTCTCAGAATGTGTGGATCAAGAGCCTGGGATTTTTCAACAAAAGAAGAACACAGATATATCCATGTATGCTAGGACACAGATATTTATTTTATTATCCACTTATTAATGCTAGGGAAATATGCTAGGGAACTCACATTGTAAATGAATGCCTTCCACTTCCTACCACTTCAGAGGACATCCAGTTTTAGTCACTCTGTATTGCCAAAAATGGAATAACTGTCTCCAAGACATAGATCAATGCAGGCAAGTCTATCAAATCCAGAGATTACTTTATAGATTAGCCACTTTTCTTATCCTATTTATTGTAAAACAACAACAACAAAATAATCCACTCACTCAGACTCTGACTCAGAGTTTTTCTCCCTGTTGCTTCTGTGTCAGCCTCAGGAATAGAAAACACTAGAAAAAAAGAACATGAAAATCAAGGTCTTTCTCTCTCTTCCTCCCTTCCTTTCAGTTTCAGGGTGTTCCTGCCTTTCCTAGCAGCAGGAAAGCATGATGAAAATTGAGAAATCTGAGCCTTCTGATGTAGGTGAACTTGTCCCTGTCCTGCTCTGTGCAGAAATGATAGGGTCAGAACCACAGAGGGATGCAAAATAGGTGCTGTTATATATGAAAGATTGCCATGTATAGCCCTTAAGTCCCCAAAATGACTAACTTCATTACTTATACAACACACGGAAACAGATGGAACTGTCAAATTAAGACTGGTAATGAACTTCAGTATGGGAAGGATAAATAAACCTTCTTGTCAAATATAGCAAAAAGTACATCTGAAATACTCCTTCCTGAGTCTTGTTTTACAACCCGAATCAGACCCTTGGATTTATATTTACCCAAATTACTGTGGGTATAAGTGACTGACTCACTTTTTCAAAACTCAGCTATGGGAGGCAACAAGAATAATCACATGTGTCTGGCCTTCACAAATGTCCTATGAATCTCTCATGGGCCTAAAGGAACAAATTCCACATCTTCTGAACTTCCAGAAAAATGTGACCATGTGGACATGGCATAGCAGTGATACCATGACTGCTGTTCATTTTCTCACATAAGTGAATATCACATTGCTGATGATTTCCAATTTAAATGAAGCTCTCATTATGTGACTGACTGCTAGGAAGGACTGTTAATAGATCTGCAGTCTAAATCAATTGGTGTAGTAGCTCACAACAGACTTTTCTGGTAAAACACGGAGAGATAAGCCTGATTCCAAAGAGGTCAGTGAGAAAATCCCCGATTTCAGTGAGCAGAGGAACAGCCACAGTGTTGGAAGCAAAGAAATAAAAAATAAAGTAACCACCTGGAAACACTAAAAGCTTAAAAAAGTGAAAAAAATTTTGGTTTAACATTTTAAACTGCCTAATATTATTTTCAATATCATTATAACATCCTAACCAATCTCCACAGGAATAAGTTATTAATCAAATAATTAGACCAAATCAATGGCACTTTCTTAACTATTATGCTTTTTTGTAAATCAGTGATCATCAATTACCTTACTATCATAGCAGTGACATTAAGCAAAATGCAGTTACTGCTTCATTAAATTTCCACCTTTCTAAATTATCAGTACAAAAATCTTTACCCCCTTATGCCTGCAGACTTACAGCCCCTGCAGTTTATGAATCATCAATAATTACCAACACACCACTGTAATTAGTGTTGACTAATTACTACAGAAAAATCTTCTTGCATAATTCTGTGCTGCTCCAAAGCAACAACTGCAGCTGCAGCCAAACAAGCAGTGAAGCAAGGTGTAGTGGGTTGACCCTGGCCAGATACCAAGTACACACTAAAGCCGTTCTCTCACTCGCCCTCTGCAACTGGACAGAGGAGAGAGAACAAAAAACAGCTAAGGATTCATGAGCTGAGATAACAGCTGGGAGAGGTCACATACTGATCACCTTCACAGGCAAAACAGACTCAAAGTGGGGATAGTACTTAAATTTATTACTAACAGGATAAGAGCCAAAGAGTGAGAAATAAAACAGTCTTAAAAACACCTTCCTCTCCCCTCTCTTTCCTTCCATGTTCTCCCTCCTTCCCCCCAGCAGTGCAGGGGAATGCGGGTTTCAGTCAGTTGTTTCTGCACTGCTCAGAGAGAGGAGCCCTTCCCCTGCTCCCGTGGGGTCCCTCCCACGGGAGACAATCCTTGATGGACCTCTCCAGCATGAGTCCATCCCTCAGGCAGCAGTTCTTCCCAAACTGCTGTCCCGTGGGTCACTCCTCCATGGGATGCAGTCCTTCATGACTGAGCTGTACCGACGCGAGTCCCCACAGGGGACACAAGTCCTACTCGGGAAAAACCTGCTTCAGTGTGGGGTTCCCTCTCCACAGGTTGCAGGTCCCTGGTAGGACCCTGCTCCATCTTGGGCCTCCCACAGGGTCACAGCTTCCTTCATGCATCCCATGGCTTTAGTGTGTACTTGGTATCTGGCCAGGGTCAACCCACTATACAAAGGTGTTGTGAGTTCAGCCTCCTGAAAAGGCTCAGGATGGATGTGCCAGTTGAGAAGCATCACACAGATGCCAAGGTCCCTTTGGACACCCTTTTGTCCAGAAGGCTCCTTTCCTCTACCCTCTGTATCTTTTTTCTCTTTAGTTACTCTCACACTGGTGCATCCCTTCCTTCACCTTTGTAGTATGTTTTGAGACCTCTGTCCCTTTGGTTTAGCAAATGGGTAACAGGACTCTCTTTTTGACCCAGCTTTCCCCTGGTTACATCTCCCCATCTTTGCTAGGGCTCACTTGCACTTCTCTCCAGCTTGCTTTCCCCCATCCACACCACTGGTGAGAGCTGACAACTCAGCCTGCCCTTTGGCACTTACCATTTCCACTTTTGATTATACCACTATTTTCAATCTCAAATCCCTTGTGGTGGTGTTGTTGTTGTTATTGTTTTTTTTTCCCCTGGCCAAACTACAGTCCTGAAAAGAATTACAACCATATATGATCTCAACACAGGCCTTAGCCAGCTTGAATTCCCTTATGAGACACAGGACACAGAGCTATTTTCTAACACCCCTGGCCTGGAGCTGGTGTCCTGCTCCTCTGCTTGCTACAGCACACCTGACCAGGGTGCCCAGCTTCTCTTCCACTGTTAGCAGAGTTACACTCCTCTTCTTTGTCTTGCCTTCTTTAGCAGAACTATATCCCAGTCTTTATCACCTTTTACTTTTTTTATCACTTCTGGTCCTTTCAACTCCACTGGCATTTTTGTG